TCGATTTGTTGATTTTGGATATCATTAACTTGCAGAGAAATACTCAGTAAAATGGGATATCTATACATAATGGCAAGATTCGCGATGACAGTAAAATTTCGTTCTTCTACTACGTCGGGTAAGTTAGTTAAGTTCAGAACTTGTCCCGGGTTGCTGATGGCATATCAGCGATATCGCATCCACGGTTTCGGGAGTGACTCGATACAGAAGCTGACTCGTTCGGTAGATAAGTAATCACATGATGAACAGGTATCTAAGCACGCGATTTAGGTATCAGTGGCCAGGGAATTACAAACTGAAGGCCGGGCTTTACATTTTGCATTTCGAGTCCGAGAGAACTAGAACAGGGTGTTGTCTTATCCGAGTCGCTCATATCCTTTTCTTTGTAGTTTGGAAAATGGAAGGTGACCAGAATCATGCAGTCTCTCGTAATATGTAGTAAGTAGATCTTCGGATTGCACCCTGAGCAAATGATAAACGGAGATGGATATGGTCTGCACAACTGGCTACTTCATCACGGCCCTTGAAACACTCATTTGTCTGCTACATTAGTATCGATAGAAATGAAGCAGCACCAATCTTAGAAGCCACCCACTCGCACTAGGTGCCAATAGGGACCGGCGCAGGGTTTTCCATCCCGGTCAACTGCAGTGGCCAACACATTCAGACCACAATTTGGACATAATATTACGATCCCTGACTAATTTATATAAGAAGACCAAACATGGAGCTCGCGTTACACGACTCAACTATGATTCACAGAAGCCCAGTTGTCAGTCAGGAGTCATTAATAGTGTCCTATATTGGACCAGAGCGCCGAGAAAGCTACTCATCCGCTTGGCTCTTGTCTTTCAGACCCCTTATCATTTTGGTAAAATGATGAGATTTCTCACTTTTCATGGAAGACTGATCCTTTTATGTTCTCCTGTAAGTAAGTAGATTGGATCTACTAATGTACCTTATATTAGTCAACTTTGAATGTTTTGTATATGACGGAATGCCTAGCTGCTTCCATATATGTGCGTGAACTAGTATATAGAAGCAAATTGATCTCAAGCCGTATTGTTAGCTTGTATGTTCTGGGGGTAAGTATCTTTCCTCTCAGATATCCTCCGACTCCCTGATTGAGAACAGACCGCGAACCGGCAAACTGAACATGAGTCACTCGGCGACAGAGAACTTCAGGAAGCGTATTGCGCATAAAGGATGCAACCTCATTGGAATTTACTTGGTAAGAGTCAGCATATATAATGTCAGTCAAAAAAGGACTTTGGGTGAATCACAGAATTCGAGATAAAGGGCCCAAGGTCGCTTAGCCTAATTAGGTATGCATTTCGACGACAGCCTCTTTAATGCTCCATTTTTAGTGCAAACCAGCCACTCGTCATAACAGTTGAAAAGCTGATCTTGCTGACTTTGCATTTGCTGATACTTTATTGGATGTTGAGATTCTAGCACGCGTAAGCACGGGGCATTTGAGCCGACTCTTCGGATACGGCATCTATATAATTGACCGTACGGACCAAACTAGGAATTCACCTCGTGGTATATAAACCATCCTTAATAAAGGCCTTCGCCATAAATAAGTAATATTGACATTTATCTTTGTAACAATCTCCGAGCCCGTATCATTCCTCATCATGAGCCAAACGCAACAGCCATCTGACCCGACCTTCCGGGCATATAGCGCCCAGCAAGGCGCCACTTATGCCGAACATCGTCGAAACTATAACCCCAAGCTCTATGAGACAATTATAAACTTCCACAAGGAAGGTTCGGACAAGTTTGATACCCTCCTCGATGTTGGCTGCGGACCAGGAACAGCCACTCGCAGCCTTGCCCCTCACTTCAAGACTGCATATGGCCTTGACCCCTCAGAGGGAATGATCAGCACTGCCCGCTCTATCACAACGCTCGAAAACGTCAAGTTCGAGGTCTCTTCAGCTGAGTCTTTGGGATCTGAGCTTGCTAATCCCATTCCTGATGGGAGCGTCGACGTAATCACTGGCGCCACTTGTGCCCATTGGTTTGACATGCCGAGATTCTGGGAGCAAGCTGCCAAGACCCTCAGACCTGAAGGAACGGTGGCTCTATGGACAGCTGCTGGCGTTCGAGTCGATCCTTCGATGCCCGCTCACAAAGCTGTGCAGGAAGTTATCGATGATCTTGATAACTTGGTTCAAGACTATTTGCTGCCCGGCAACCTGATGGTCCGTGATCTTTACCGTGATCTACCGTTGCCTTGGACTCTTGATCCACCTCTTTCGGTATTTGACCAAGACTCATTCATCCGCAAAGAATGGTGCACTGGTCCAGATTCTGAGACCATGTTCTTTGAGCATTCGCCGCCAGTCAATTTGGTTATGTTGGAGATGGTTCTTGGAACCGCTAGTCCTGTTACCAGATGGAGGGAAGCTCATCCTGAAGCTGTCGGAACGGAGAATGACGTTGTTCGTCAAATCAGGAGAAGGATTGAGAAGATTCTCAATGATGCAGGCGTGGAGAAGGGCAAGGAGATGCTTACGGGTGACATGACTGGTGTCTTGCTGTTGGTTAGAAAGAAGAGTAACTAGGTCTTTTAAGCGAGAAATTGACCATGGGATGCGCTGTGTTGATAAACATTACGATCAATTATCCTAGCTCTCGAACTGGCATTCTGGTTTGCGCAAATTTCGTAACTTACTATATCCTCCGTCCTTTCACTCATCATACGCATCACGAGGATCATGCTCCTTCCAGAACTTATCGTAATCATCCCAGCTCTGAGAAGGGAATGCCAATGGAACAGTGATCGGACCAAATGGAATACCCTTCTTCTCAAACTCATCCAAACGGGCCTTGGTCCTCTCCTTCGTCTTGTTAACGCTATAAATAGAAATCCTATGGCACGAGCTAGTAACGTGAAGCCCCCAATTCCAGGCTGTTCGAACATCAGGTGGCTGAGTGTTGAGAGAGTTATCCCAGCAGCGACAAACAATCTCAACCCAACCCTCGACGTCACATGGCAGCTCAAACTCCCAAGTACGCCAGGTCCACTTACGCTTCTTAGAGAGTTTCTCAAGTGGAACTGTATACCAGTTGAAGCCACCGTCGTTGGAGAGTTCGACTCTCTCGGGCCAACGTCCGCCACCAGAGTAAGCCCATCCCTTGCAGCGAATTTTGCCGTTGTGGATGACAACTTGCTTTGTCCAGGGTGACATGATGGCAGAGCTGACAGGCATCTCCTGGATCTGAATACCATCCGTGAGTTTGAAGTTGTGCTTGCCGACTTGCTGAGGGAAGTAGAGATATTCCTGACTCTGAACAGGTGCTCGTGACGGCTCTTTGATAGCCTTGATGCGGTACAGCCACTTGACGCTGCGAGCGCCGATGTAGCCAAACACCACGATCCGAAGAGGATACCCATGGATCTTGGGAAGCTCTTCACCGTTCATCTCCCAGGCTAGCATGACTTCATTGGCTTTGACCTTTGACCAAGGAACGCTGACGAGATAGTTCATCGTCTTATCATCCTTGAAGTAGGTATCAGCACCGTAGAACTCCAGGTGCTTAGCACCATCAATCAATCCACCACAAGCCTTGATAACCTTCTTAAGGCTGATACCAACGTAGTTGGCAGTGCCGATTGCTCCTTCGGCCCAAGGTGCTTGGGGAACTTCGTCGCCTTGACCAGGGTATTTGAGAATCTGCTCAATACGACGAGTTCCAGAACATTGGATTGTGACGTTCTTTGACATGCGAGGGAACTTGGACTCGTCCATGAGGTCATCCAAAGTGAAAGACTTGGGGTTTGCGACAAGTCCATCCATGAGGAAGCTGAAGTCTTCTTTGTTGATGATGGGAATTCCACCGTGGTTTCTCACAAAGTGGAGGGAATTGGGGGTGAACTCCTTGTCAGTGACTAAGCGCTTAGGTGGCTCGCCATTGTAAGGGAATTGCAAGAGATGCAGCATGTCAGGGTGTTTCTCTTTGAGGACAATAGCCCATGAGTCTTCAGGCACACTGGTGAGTTCACCACCGATAGCGTGATGCCACATCTTCCAATGCGTACCAGGAAGAACAGGGTTGGTGCCAGGAATAGGACCAAGCTGGAACTCAGGGTTGGGAGGGAATGTCTGCGACGTCAAGATCTTGTGCGCAGCAGCTTTCTTGTCAGGGTAATTCTCCCACTCAACGAAGCTTCACCGGTCAGCTTGGCATGATACACTTGAGAAGAGTCTTACCCAACCCAACCCTTGCGTTCACGAGTGAAGAGCTTCTCAGGGTCACCGACCGACTTGATAGCTTCTTCATCCTTGGTGAGATCACCAAAGACCTGAGGATCCAGAGCTATGGTCTTTGGTCCGGTTTGGTCCAGTACAGGAAGAACTGCACCGGAAAGACCTTGCTCGATCTTCCATTCATCAGGACGATTGGTAGTCTTCATGATTGAAAAGTAACAGTAAATTAGTTTTGGGTGTAATTGAGCAAAAGAGGGGGAAACAGCGGGCTTTGGATTTAAGTTAATCAACGTTCTACGAGGGCAGAGGGCTCAACATGCGGGCGTCTTACAAGGTTGTAACCCTACGATCTACTCAAAACGATCTAGATCGAGTAAGACTACCAGGCCAATGACGAAGCAGACAGTAGTATACCCCAAAACAGCCACGACCAGGGATCATTGGCTCGATAAGCCGCTTCATGCAGGTCAGGCATTGAGTTCAAGCCATAGGGCCGAATTACCGTTGATGCCCTGAGCTGTGTAATGCAGTTGTGGTGAATGGTTGGTGATTACGTGGTGGAAGTGGGGTCGTTATCAAGAGCTGACAGACTTGGGATGCATCAGAAATCATCATGACAAAGTGGCTGCTGTACGAATGCGGGGTCAACTCAATTCAATCCCTTCCGAGCTTTCCGTGTAAGATTGGGAATGGACGTGATGGAGGACGGAGGGGATAAGATGAGCTGTGCTGCGTCTGTGAGGACAATGTTTGCAGCGACAAGATATCATCAAATTAGCCATGGTAAGTATCAAACCCAACTTGTTATCGTTGCTGAAGGCTTACAAAACCAGTCTCAGAACAATCCCATCTCGACTCTTGCCAATGGTACGCCCAATCTCATTCGCCCCAGCTATGTGCCTGGCCCTGACACTATCTAGGGCAACCGAGTGAAAATCCAGGATCGGTCCAACAAGTTCGCTACGGAAAAACCAACGGAGGGCTCATCGTCTTGAGCGACACGCAAACCATCGAAGTACTCGCTCACTTTGCTCGTGAACGCATTCCAGAGAGGTACTGATAAATCTAAGCAAGATTGGATCATTGGCTGACAGCAAATCCAGGAGCGTACATGCAAAGGCCGCCGGCGCCTTTGGCGAATTCGAAGTCCTCGAAGACATCTCCCATCTCACCGACGCAGACTTCCTGACGGGAATTGGCAAAAAGACCAAGTTACTCACGCGAATCTCGACTGTAGGTGGCGAGAAGGGATCTAGCGATACCGTGCGTGATGTTCGTGGCTGGGCAACCAAATTCTACACCGAAGAGGGTATCCAGGACTTTGTTTTCAACGACCTGCCCGTGTTCTTCATCCGAGATCCAATCAAGTTTCCGTCCATGAATCGCAGTCACAAGAGACATCCCCAGACCAATGTTCCTGATAACACCATGTTTTGGGACTTTCACCTGAACAACCCAGAAGGTATCCATGCTCTGATGCACCTCTTTGGACAGCGTGGTATTCCTGCGTCGCTGAGAAACATCAACGGCTTTAGTGTTCATACCTATACCCTCAACAAGGCGGTAGGTCAATCAAAAAGCTGATAAAGTCAAGCTGACGTTCTCTAGGATGGTAGCTATGTCTACGTCAAATGGCACTTTCGCCCAGACGACGGAATCAAGACTATGGATGCAGACACAGCTCAGCGACTAGCAGGCTCCGAGCCTGACTACCACGTTAAAGATCTCTTCAAAGCGATCGAGAAAGGTGATTTCCCGTCTTGGGGTGTTTACATTCAGGTTATGCAACCTGATGAAGTTAAGGATGCGCCGATTGATGTTTTTGATGACACGTATACTTGGCCTTTTGAGAAGTATCCTCTCAGGCTTGTTGGTAGAATCACACTTAACAAGAATGTGAGTTCTCGTGATGTGCGAGGTTCTCGGGTACTGACATGTTGCCTCAGCTCAACAATTACTTCCAAGATTTGGAGCAGGCGTGCTTCTCGCCCTCGAACATGGTTCCTGGCATTGGACCGTCAGCGGATCCTGGTATCTAAACCCCTACACGGTGACATCCACAGACTAACTCGAGAAAAGTACTGCAAGCGAGAATGTTTAGTTACCCAGATGCGCATCGTTACAGGCAAGTACACTCATACTTTCTCACTATATCAGATCTAACGATTCCCAGAGTCGGGCCCAATTACTTTCAACTCCCCTGCAACAAACCCATCAACAAAGTCTACGCCCCATATGTCCGCGACGGCCCAGGCACCATCAACGGTAACTACGGAGGCGACCCAGACTATGTCGGCTCAGAGCTTCGCCCCGTGAGCATGAGCAAACGAGTCCAAGTGCCTACCCACGAGGATTGGTCTGGCCATGTCACCGCTTTCGCAACGTCGATCACCGATAAGGACTTTGAGCAGCCTAGAGCGCTGTGGAAGATTATTTGCAAAGAGCCAAAGGGCAAAGAGCAGTTCTTGCATAACATTCTTCCGACCGTGGGCGATATCCCCGATAAAATGAAGGATCAGGTGGTTGGTGAGTTCTACGAAACTTCACAAGTGATAATTTGTTATTTGCTAATTCTTTACAGAATATTTCGGTCGCGTTGATGGGGATCTCAAGGCTTGTCTAAAAGAAGGTCTTTCCAAGTAAAGACATCCATTTCCGTTGTTCGCAGTATTAAAAAGATAACGGTGTTAGTTGATTAAGTCAATTGACATAATTATTCCCAGTATTGGGGGCTGGTGTGAAGACCCTTTTTTTTAGGCGCGTCAATCGTTTCAGGATAGGATTTTAGGGACCAGGGGGTGCTGGAATGCCCCACTAATATGGCGGTGCCGATCACTGTAATCTGGGCTGAGCCTTGTTGAGTTGTTTCACGTCGAACCAACAACATAAGAGCATTGACTGCACATCCTCAACCCTCCTCCTTCATCTTAGTCGTGCGTCAAGTCTTGCCAGAGCCCTGATTCCGGAAATGGCGCCCATATCGTTTCTCGATTGTCCCCAAGAGGTGCAGCTCCACATCGTCGAATTTATTCCCCAGTGCGACTTGGCCGGGCTCTCTAAGACCTGTCGTGCCCTACACAGCCTCACCGAGCCTCTGATTTATTCCTCTGTCAAATTTGAATGGGCGAGGGAGTTCTATCCGCCTATCACTCGATTACTCCAGTTGATCCGAACATTGTTAAAAAGACCCCACTTATGCCCTTTGATGCGTCATGCCGACTTTGAAGGCTTTGGCTACATCGACGAAATAGGCTCGTGTGGCTCAGACTGGACAGAGGAGACTCCTGATCCGCCACCTGTCATCCCAGAACTTCCCACCGACGAACTCTCTGCGACCATCGGGAAAACATATGTTTCGGAGGCTGTCGCCGACGAGTGGTGCCAGAAAGTTCAATGCGGATCTCCTGAAGCTTCGGTCGCAGTTCTCGTTTCCCTACTACCAAACCTGGAACGGCTTTGTCTTTCCTCCAATTGGACAAACGACACCCGTTTCCTTGGTCATATGCTTCGAGCTGCACTATGCGAGAAGCCTGAGCATACATCAGAAGCAAGCTTCCTTTCTTTTGCTTCCTTGAAGCGCGTATCGCTTGCACCAATGTTCGACGAAGAAGGTCACCTCAATCCAAGTAATACAGCAGATGCACTGGCATTGTTCTACCTGCCCAATATTGAGACTCTCTCAGTATCGATTGACAACCCCACCAACTTTACTTGGCCCTCCTCTTCACCACCAAACCCAACATCGCTAGAGTCCCTCGAGATCTTTCGGCTAAGAGAAAGTCGCCTGGCACCAGTTTTGTCAGCGACACAGAACCCGAAGAAACTAAAATACAACTGGATGTACCGTCCTGACCTCGACAGGGAGGTCAGCAAACAGGCTGTGATGCTGGGCGTGTTGTCAGAAGCCCTCCTTGAGACTAAAGACTCGCTCGAGGAGCTTGAAATCACTGCAGAGAGTTTCCCTGCAATTTCGCATGGGATGTACGAGCCGCCCGATGTCACGTTCCAAGGGTCAATCGCTCGACTCCGCGAGATGCACAAGCTAAAGACTCTTCATATACCGTGGACATTTCTCACGGGGAAGAAAGGGTATTCTACCGGCCCTGGTCTCATCGGGGCTGCAGTTCCACCCAACCTTGAACATTTGGCATTGGATTGTGCCTTCATGTGGTCTGAGGATGATGACTATGAAGAGGACCCAGATGAACTGATGGTTGAAGGTTTTGGAGAAGAACTCGAGAGCGGCGCTTTGTCGCATGCGAAATCACTGGAAAGCGTTTGCTTACCGGGATCCTTGTATATTCATGGGTTGTCAGACATCTGCGAGAATAAGCTGAAAGTCCTTGAGGAAAGGTTTGGATTGGCATTGAGCTATGATAAGAGAAGAGAGTGAAGTAAATTAGTCTTATAGGCGGTATTTCAGATGAAAACTTCTTCAATTAAACTTTTTCTATACTTTGCAGTTAGTTGACAGGTCATAAGCTCTTACTTTCAGTCAATCAATATACTTTGTAGTGGAATGATGAAGAATATAAATCTTGATGTTTAACCCCTCCGCCATAGCAATATGTAATTGAAACTAACAGAATGAAGACAATGAGAGACAGAGTGCCTACTCCCCATCCCAAATAATATTATTCCTAGTACACATCTGGATTTGGCCTTTCTTCTGCACACCTCCAGCAATCTTACGAAGCGCAAAAGGCGCAGCCTTTACCTCTTGTCCAATATAATGCACGTCTTGGTCCCGTACCAGTAGGTTACAGCCCCAGAATTCCTGTTATCTCGTTAGTAAATAAATGATCTCACACATACTGCAATTGTCTTGTACCAACCTTTTCATCCTCTCCGTTGTCGGCGGTGCCACAAGGGGCCAAGATAGAGTAGCCTTGCCTTCCTTTGACAACAGTCGTGACACGAACTTTTGGATTGACATCTGGAATAGATGTCGTGTGTGTCATATAGTACTGATGGAATGCATTGACTTCGCCACACTTGGCTTTGTTTTTATGCCCAGCGGCAGGGTCTGCAGTACTGTCTGGATCATTGACAACGCGATCTCGCCAGAGAGCACTACAGCGATCAAGAGCCAGTTTAACCGGGCTCTCGGGCCACTGGTTAAGAAAGCCATCCAGTCCCTTTTGAGAAGAAGACAAGATGATCTCGTTCCCAAAAGCCACAATAGTCATAACCGAAGGGAGGTATGCTGGCTTACCACTCCCCTTGACAAGGATCGTGGGCTCATACTGTTGCATATCCTTTTCCATCTCTCCATGTGCAACTTGGGCCATCTGTCTTAGCTGACCATCCGTGATAGAGGAGACAGGTTCATTGAAAACGAGATATGAGGAAAAGAGATATCGATGCTGACTTTCTCTCCTCTTGTTTTCTGACACGCCCGGGATGGGCTGAGTCGCAAGACCGTAGTCCAGCCGGACTTTGAGTTGCCCTGGCGGAGACTTCTTAACGCTGAGGTCGATAGCATCAAGGCATTGGCTGAAGAGGAGAAGTATCAACAAAAAAGAAAGGTAGAAAGTACCCAAAAACGGCGTCATGATGCCAGAAGTTGAACATAAGTTCAGAACAGTTTACAGATCTCGACGAAATAGGACCTGGAGGAAACTAACACAAATACCTCAATGAGACAGGGCATATAAGATAGTCTGTACACCATCCAGGCTCACCGGCACTGTAGTCTCCCGGATTATTAACGAAAAGCACAGAACAGCCATGCCTGCGCCCTTCAGACAGCGGCTAAGTCGGAAGGCAGAGACGATGATCATGAGACCACATGATTGTTTAAAATTAAAGGCCCATATTCTGATTCCTTCCAAACAACTGCCGAAGCTGGTATTCCAGACGCATTTGCCCATCGTTACTCGCCGAATCAAGAATACAGCCCCCAATTACCAACTCGGTTACATGTTGACTACGCGCTGTAAAAAATAAATGGAAACCTAGTCGGCCGTGCGTCCAATCAAAGCTCAAATGGCCTACCATGTAATGTGGATGTTGATACGAGCTTTTTGCTAGAACCAACAACAAGACGCTAACAAGGGATCGTGAAACACAGTTGTTGGTTCGACTTACCATTTCGACAGTGGCTTTTCTATAATTAACGGGCCGTGCTGCGACTCATGCATGATGATCCTTTCGAGTCAGGAAATGCCCGACTAATTTTATCCCTCATCTGTTGGTTCTCCCTTGTAAAATTCATTTACATGTCACCACGTGGGTCAAATGCGAACTGATCTTCTCGGACAGGCTGGATCATGAGCTGATAACTAAATCACGCAGGACTGTGGGGGCCATACTCAGAAGCATGGGCGAAGTGCAGATCTTGAAACTGGCATTGGGGGCCAAAAGGAGGACATAGACAAACCCTGCAAGGCTGACTACCGGCTTGCTAACAATAGTTCCGCTGGCACACATATGAAAATCGCCAAGTGTCTGTATTTCCCGAAAGAGAGTAACACGTTCTTGTGAACTGTATCATCATGCAGCGTCTACGCTATGCTTTGGCAATTTTCGCTGCTGCTGGCTCAGCAGTAGCACGTCCTTCTCTTGTTGACTTTGGATCTATGTCCATCAACAATATCTTTGGCAGACAAACGACAGACTTCTTCAATCCAGATGACTTGACGTTCATCAAAAAGCTTGCAGCGGTTGGGGACTCATACTCAGCTGGTATTGGAGCTGGAGACGGCTTACACGGAGAGGGCGGTGAGTTTGCAATGTTAGGTCGTTGCAACGAGATTTAACGAGTTACAGATGAGAATTGCCGGCGATATGACCATTCTTACCCATATCTCATTAATCAAGATGAACGACTGGGCGATACAGCAAACAGAAAGTTTCAGTTCAAGTCTTGCTCTGGTGCTGTCATCAAGAATGTAATTGAGGATCAACTTCCTTCAATAGACTCTGATCAGCAGATCATTCTTTTATCTGCGGGTAGGGATCACAGGTAATCCGTTGAGGTGTAGACACCCACTGACAATGTTTTAGGTGGCAACGATGCTGAGCTTGTTAACATCCTGAACCAATGTGTCTATCAATGGTTTGCTTTGAACGACCAGCACTCTACTGTGGGTAAAGTTGCAGAGATGAAAGGCGAGCCCTGGGCGAAAGGATGGGATTGGGACGCTGCGTCTCGTGGTTGTCTAGGCCAGCTCCAATATTCCAAGAACATCATAAACGACGATGAGTTCTCCAAAAGAATCGACTCGATGATCGAAGCCACGAAAAAGAAACTGTCGTCAGAGTAAGTTCTGTCTTGGCACGCTGAGTGGATGACTACTGATTGCCCTCTCTGTATAGCGGCATGATATACTACACAGGGTATGATAGTGCTTGATTAAGTCCAATTACCCTCCCACTAATCTCAGTTACAGGTATGCGAAGTTTTGGAGCACTGATTATGGGTCTGCTTGCGACAAAGTCTCATGGTCAACCTGGATATTTGTAAGCAGTTCGAAACAGTTTGCGAGTCTTTCTAACATTTTCTCTAAGAAATCGTATAATATTTGGCAGCCTGCTGCTCGTCTTGAAGAGTTGCGCCGAAGAGAGATGAACAGGCTAGTTGATCTCATCAACGACAAAATTGTAGGTGCGAACAGACATTGAAGGGCCTCAGTGATTTAACTCGACTTCCAGGAAGCTGCTGTCAAGAGAGCTGGCGACAAGGTGACATTCATCAACTACGATGAGTATGTCGGCCACTTCAAAGGCCGATACTGCGAAGACGGCGTTGACGAGTCGGTGGTTGACAGCAATACAAGGTAAGTTTCAACACTCTGGAAATTTGAATCGTGTCGCACACTAACTGCCCTAGACCGGAGTTGATGTTCTATGAGCTCGATACCTTTGACCCATGGGGTAATAGGCCGTGGAAGCGGAGTACTGTCGAGCACACGAACGGTTCATTTTCCGGTGACATGAACACGATGGCCCGAGCTGCTGAGTTTGTCGCACCGGATGTGACATTCAGGCAGGAGCACAAGATTGTAGATGATTCTGAGATTCAGGGTCTCCAGGCTGCAGCTAAAGAGGGCGCTACTGAGGATGTACCAAATCTTTTGCCTGACGGGTACGTAAGCAGCCATCGCGTTTTGTCCCCGCTACTAACCTAAGTCTTGTAGTTACGGTCGTGTCTTCCATCCTCAGATCCTGCTCCACGAGCTTATCGCCAACCTCGTTCTTTTTGAGGTCTCTAACCGCCGTATGGAGGCGAACGATATGACTCCGGAGCCTCTTCTTGACACATCGGTAGCGCAGTGTCCTATCAACCCTTCCGGGAAGATTGTCCTGAAGTACAAGGAGACTGAACCGGGAGAGGCAGTCAATAAAGGTACTGAGCTGAGGATTCTCCCGGTCGGCGACTCTATCACTGTGGGCTACCTGAGCGACAGGAAGGGGGGTGACGGCAACGGGTACCGTGGACAGCTGAAGAAGGATCTTTCTGGTAAGAACAACGGTGTTGGACAAGGTCATTGCGGCTGTTGGTGCTAACATTGAGCAGGAGACAAGGTCGTCTTTGCCGGCACAGAATCATCAGGTACAATGACTGACGGAAACTATGTACGTACACAGACTCACCTCGGACATTGTGACTGACTCCAAACTAGGCAGCATGGTCTGGAAAGACCATCCAGTACATCTCGGACCATGTCGACCCTTCACTCAAACAGCGTCCCAACATCATACTACTCGCAGCTGGCACCAACGACATGAACCCCAACCATGGCATCTCGAAAGAGGGTAACGATCCTAAAGGTGCCGCTGACCGACTTGGCAAGCTCATTGACAAGATGGTCAAGGCATGCCCTGATGCAACAATTCTGGTAGCCATGATCATCAACACTTGTGATGAGAAGCAATCACCTGCTACCAAGGAGTTCCAGAAGCTCGTCCCTGGCGTCGTCAAGTCACGCCATGACGACGGCAAGCACGTCTTGGCTGTGGACTTCACAACCTTCAAGACAAGTGATCTCCAAGACTGCATCCACCCTACCAACGATGGGTACAAGCTTATGGGCGACTATTGGTACAGCTTCATCCACCAGATTCCCAGCAGTTGGATCAAAAAGCCAGTTGGACCAGATCCCAATGGTGGCGATGGTACCAACGGTGGTATTGATAAGAACATTCCTGCTCCGGACTGGGGAAAGAGTCCTATTCAGGTCACTTCGAAAAAGACAGTGGCAGATGCGGCTGAATATGCGACGGGCGGAAAGGACAAGTGCGTCATTTGTAATGGCAATCCTTGGTACAAGGGCACTGGAAAAATTGCACAGGGTGGTGTTGGTAGTAATGGTGATTGGAAGTATCACAAAGATTGGAGAGCCGAGGGTCAGGTTGCTGAGGGACTTGGCTTGGAGAATCAGTATGTCAGATTGCATGACATGAATGGCGATGGCAAAGCGGGTAAGCATTGAACCTTCACCGGACCATTATTTGGGACCCAGGCTAATGACCCTCCTAGACTACGTATGGATTCATCCCAAGACTGGAGAGATCACCTGCTGGCTCAACAATCTCCCCAAACCATGGTCGAAGGCTGGTAACAACAATGGCATCATTGGTAGCGGCGTAGGTCCCGCAAAGACTATCTATCTGGCGGTAAGTTCCCACTCGATCACTCTATTAGCCAAGGCTAACACACCTACAGGACATGAACGGTGACGGCGTAAGCACTTTGTCGGATCGAAGACGCCTATACTGACATTCGACAGATGGACGATTACCTTGTCGTGGACCCAGATAACGGCTCGGTTCGCGTTTGGTGGAACTACGGCCCTGATGACAGCTGGGACAACGGTTGGAGATTCGTGCCTGGCGGCGAGATTGCTTCAGGCGTGCCGCACGCTAACCTCGAGACTCTGCGATTCCCAGACATCAACGGCGATGGAAGGGCTGACTATGTCTACATCGGCGAAGGTGGGTCGCTAAAACATCATCTGAACACTGGCTCAGTTGGAGGAAGAGATGTCCTCTTCCATGCGATGGGAGGTATCGCTACTGGGGCTGTTAGTGATATCTCAAAGTTGGTGTTTGCCGATGTAAGTGGAACGGACATAGACGCCGACTCCAGGCTAACAAGCGTGATTCACAGATGAATGGAGATGGTCGCGATGGTACGTTCTGCTTGTCGCATGTCATGGTTCGTACTAATGGATGACAGACTATTTGATATGGGATGAAGACGGCGGCCTCACAGGATTCCTCAATCAGCCTACCAACAAGGAGGGTGTTCCTCACTTCGTCAATCAGGGCCCCGCCAAGACCATTGCAGATGGTATCAAGAAGAAGCCAAGCACTATTCGGTTGGCAGACATGGACGGCGATGGCAAGGACGACTACGTCTACGTTGGCGACCACGGTGCACTTTCAGTTTGGTATAACAGGGGGACTACCGATGACTCCATGGCGATTGATGGCCTTCGTTTTGCTGACATGGATGGTGATGGAGTAGACGACTATGTCTGGCTTGATCCCAAGACGGGAGCTCCAGCGTTTTAGTAAGTCATGCTTCCATATCGACTTTGCGATTGACTTGTTGACAGCTTAGTCTCAACTCTGGAGTCAATGATGGTGACTCTCTTGGTTGGGCATGGAGCCCGATCAATGGCGGTAAGCCCATTGCTTCTGGTGCTGCGCCTGCAAACCAGGTCGTTTTTGGCGACATCAATGGGTGAGTGGCCCCAGACTCTGGCTGACGGGGCGCTTGACTAACCAGTCGCAGCGACGGTTTGGACGATTATCTAGACCTGGACCCCAAAACCGGCTTGTTGAAAGCGTATCTCAATCTGGGCAGGGAATCAGACTGGAAGTTCCGGCCAATAGGCACGATCGCATCAGGTCTCGGACCAGGGAAGCGAGTGCGCATAGCCGATATTGATGGTGACGGGGTAAGATCCAGGCATTGGTGCACCAAGCGACTCATGTATTAACACTCTTTCTAGCGCGACGATTACATCTTTCTCAAGGACAACGGCGGCACAACTATTTACCGCAATATCTACGGCCCCGACAACGATGGCGACAAGTATGCCCTAATGTCAGACGCAGATGCTTCGGGCATTAACCAATCGCCGGACGAGATTGACTTCATAGATATGAACGGCGACGGAAAAGCGGACTACGTCTGGACATCTAGACTCGATGGCAGTGTCAAAGTTTGGTACAATGACTACCCCAAGAAACCCACCTGGAGAGAAGCAGGAGAGATCGCAGGCGGCGTCGGCACATCCGGCGCAAACATCCGGTACGCGAAGCTACAGAAGACGGGCCGATATGATTACGTCGCCGTCGATCCCAAGACAGGAGCTATCGCTGCGTGGCTCAATGGGTGCGGCGACCCTGATACCTCCAAGAAGAAGCACAGAATTACCATCGCCCGGTATCTCAAAACCGTATGGGTCATCGCTGAAAAGCCTGTAGATAAGGACTTCTCCTCCGATACCTGTTTCAAGACAGGAAAGGGCGGAGATACGCGAGGTACTCCGATCTTGAACACAACAGCTGATGACAAGTTTCCCGCTGCTCTAAAGAGTGGTGATACTATGGAGAAGCTTTATGGGAATACGTGCTTTTATGAGGGTAGTACGGAGAGAGTAGGAAAGCTTGTTTGCGATGGGGTCAGTGGGATTAGGTGCTATGAGGATGAGAACTTTGGGAAGTTGCAGAAGTGCAGGTTTGGATCTTACACGTATTCTTTGTATTGTGAGTGGTAGTTATGTGTTGAGACGACTGGCTTTGGCACTCGGAGCATTTCAATCAAGGTAGTGAATGGGCAAAAACAGTTTAAAGCAATCGAGCACGTCTATATATAATAACCAACCGAGAAAATCCCACTCTATATCATTCATCCAAATCCATCACGATACTCAGTCATGAGACACTCTACAAGCTAGCATGTGATGCGAGAGGAGAAGCCTCCTGGATTTCATGCACCTCCATCTTAAAGCCCTTGAATCTTCTCGCCGGCAATCTCATCTCAAACATGTGATCAATCTCAATCGCACTTCTTCCCTTCATCTCAGGGATGAAGAACCAAGTCAAGAGAGTACCGACCAGGCAGAGTCCACAAAACAGAAAACCTGTCTTTCCGCCTAGTGCCGCCTTATCTCTGCTGAAAAGCATAGGTAGAACAACTGCCAGCATGATGGAAAAACCCTTCTCAGCAATACCAGCCAAACCTTGGGTGAGAGATCGGAGTTGAAGGGAACTGGTCTCTCCGAGAATTGCATACCCAGCAGGCCATGCGCCCATGCCACAGACGACAATGACAGCTGTCATGATTCCTCCAGTAGCCCAAGTGAGAGTCTCACTCTTCCAAAAGCCAGTCACGCCCATGGCTCCGTAGAGAAGGGTCGAAGAAGCTAACGAGAACAGGGTCAAGCTGCGACGACCAGCGCGGGAAAGAAGCCAGAAGCCTATACCGTTGGCGAGCATTCCAGCTACTATACCCGCGAGCGTGAACATGATAGCATATCCTGACTTCATGCCCATGGATGTCAAGAAGACGCTGGCGTTGGAGAGCAGTTCCAGACCGAAGAGGGCAGGCATGATAGAGGCCAGTACAGCGATAAGGGTCCTTCGACGGTTTGTGCCCTTGAGACAAGACCAGTAGCTGACTGAAGCGGTGATGGCCTTCTCTTCCTCGATAGTAGCGCGGATCCGCTCAAGTGCACCGTATGGGCTGACTTTCGGTGCGAACAGGCGAGTGGCTGATTTGATCGCTCTCTGCTCCTGACCAGTTCTGATCAAATGAGCAGGACTTTCAGGCATGACGAGAGAAAGAATAAAAGGGCCGAGGGAGAGAATCCACTGTGATCCAAAGGCACCAAGATAGCCACTGCTGTTCTCAATGTCATTGATCAACTTGATAACAATAAGACCAATGAGTTGACCAAGCAATGTAAACACCGGAAACAGAGCCATAGCCGAACCACGCAGCGCCGTCGGTGTATTCTCAGACACCCACGTCACACAAGTCGTCTTGATAACACCGACCGAAAAGCCCTGAATTGTCAAACCAGCCGTGAGAAGCGTGCGCTTCATGTTGAGCGGCTCAGGCATATGCGAGAAGAAGATACACGCAATAGCAATGACAGAAATGATGGTTCCAAATAAAAGCGTGAGTTTTCGTCCAATGCGGTTCTGTAGCCATCCTCCCAACAAACCACCGAGCGCTGCACCGGCGGGTGGAAGACCTAGCCAGAGGGACAGCCAATTACCGGGAATGTCCATCTCGCCGTATATCTTTGATCCGTAGTCTGCTTTGAAGGTATCAACGCTTGCGACGGCGCCGACGATGACGAGATCGTAGCCCCAGCCGATGACGGGGATTGTCATGGCGAGGCAGTACATTGCGATTTTGGGGTATTTCTTTAGTGCCTGGCGGAGTGGCATTTGCGCTTCTTCGTCGTCTTGTTGAGGTGGCGGGTCTTGTTTTGTGGTTGAGTCTTGGGTGGTGGTTTGAGAAGTGTAGGGATCGTAAGCTGTGATGTCCTCATCTTCTTGTGGAACTGTCTGCCATCGTCTTGTTGTTTCGAGCTCGTGGTAGCTTGGTGCGATACTACCTTCTTGGGGATCGCTGTTTTTGCGGTCGTGATAGCTCATGATGACTTTACCGAGTTGTGATGTCGTTTAGCGGATGTTTAAGATGTTGAATGATGCGAATGCGAAAAGGCAATGGCAAAGGTGGCAATCAGCATCTATAAAGAAGAGCAATCCTCGCATTTCTGGTGGAGGGGTCCATCGGACTCATGGTGATCTGCCCTACGGACGTCTAATCGTGGAGTAGCAATTATCGCGTAGGATAAATCCTTCAGTGGGCGATGATACGCTAATTCTGTAACAGAGCCAATTACGTGAGGGCTAGAACGAGGATGAAACTCAGTGCTTACAGGGCGCAGTCAACAGAGCCCTACGGACTCGGACTAGTGAGGCTAGCGACGGGACAGTCTTTGCGAGGAAGAGGCTGAGTTGGAGGTGTTATTAAAGACGAGGCATTAGTTGTTAATAGATTCCATTTGATCTTTCGGGAAGGTAGTGTTGATTATAATGGAGAAGAGATGCAGCTTTGGACTCATGATGCCCTCGTGAAGTTGCTGTGCCGTAGAAGGACAAATGCCACGTAAGATGAGGATTCAGGATGCATGCATTACTCCGTACAACACCATATTTAGGCATGAAAATCAAGCATAAACTGGTCAATTAACCTCCGGCATTGCTACCAATTGCCGCTCGTTAGTGTGATAGCGTCGAGATCCGTAGGACCTTATCCCCGTCGGACTCTGAACGATGAATCTGACATGCATCCATTTGTGGGGTCTTGCGAAATCCGCACGATCGAGCGAAGTCCGCTTCATGGAAAGGATCCTTGGCAGTTTTGAGTTGATATGTAAAAGGGATGAAATCACTTAAGAAGACTTGAATATTCCAACGAATCATTGATTTACAGAGTGTAAGGTCGTTTGGACACGTTTCGTGGGTTATTTACTTGTCTGTCACTGGCTTCAAGCTACCATCACCACCTTGTCCACGCCCGCTTTATCACCGAACCTCACCCCAATACCGCCGATCCCTAACGTATCACTGCATATCTCGTATCAATCGATACCCTCCGACTCGACAATGCAACTCAACACCACCGAAAGGCCGGAACTCAAGCCGATATGCCAAATCATCACTCCAGTGGGGATGCTAGGCTACGGCTTCGACGAAGCCCTCACGCACTACGAACTCTCCCGCCTTGTACCAACCGGCATACCAACGGCTATTATCTTGGATTCGGGCTCGACAGATAGTGGACCGCAGAAACTTGCTCTGGGGTCTATGTCGTGCCCGAGGTCGGCTTACGAGAAGGATCTTGCCAAGTTACTCAGGCTTGTTCATACGTTTCATGTCCCGTTGATATTTGGGTCTGCTGGTGGTGATGGGACGGATGAGCATGTTAAGGCTATTGGTGAGGTTATTGAAGAGATTGCATCAGGGGAGGAGAATAAGTGAGTATGTGTAGTAATACTGGTGCTATCTTGCTGATACCTTAAAGGGCCTATACTTTCAATACGATATCGCTATTCTCCAATATCAACAAGACAACCATACTCGAGCGCTTCAAACAAAACCGCCTAACCGGCTGCGGCCTCTGCGTTCCACCAGCAACAGAGTCCGAGATTAATGAATCCCTTCGCGTCGTCGCTCAAATGGGTTACGAGCCCTTCTTCGACGCCATGACCGCCAATCCCGACTTCGACATCATAATCGGCGGACGAGCCTATGATCCATCTCCATACGTTGCCTTTTGTGCTTACCAACTCACACGCCAGTCAAACCATCTCAGCAAAGAAGAGCTTCATTCTAGGCTTGGTGGGTTCTATCACATGGGCAAGATCTTGGAATGTGGAGGACAGTGTTCATTCCCAAAGTCCCATGGTGCTGTTGCTACTGCTTATGAGAATGGTTTATTCGATGTTCGACCGACGGATCCTCAGTCGATGTGCACGCCTTTATCTGTTGCTGCGCATACGTTGTATGAGAATACGAGGCCGGATGTTCTACGAGGGCCGGGAGGTTCACTTCATCTTGATAGCTCAAAGTATGAGCAGCTCTCTGACGGAAAGTCTGTCAGGGTGAGTGGTAGTGTATATCGCTCGTCTGAAGCAGATGGCAAACCTTATCAACTCAAGCTCGAAGCTGCACGTATTGTTGGTTATCGCTCTATGTTCATGGGCAGTATTACAGACCGTAAAGGGTCCCTATCTCCAACGTATGAAAGCATTCTAACAATTGTAGATATCCTCATTTCCCAGATTGACAAACTACTGGCCCGCGTCAAGGTCTACGTCGACCAACAACACCCCGAGATCACCGGCCAATGGAACCTCGACTTCCACGTCTACGGCAAAGGCCAACACACGCAAGCCGGACCAGTTCAGCTCTTCATCGTTGCTGAAGCACTCGCGCCGACACAGCAGTTAGCCAACAGCATTGCCTCCAAGGCAAGAGTTGGAATGATTGTAAGTCTCCTTATCTTTCATTAGGTTAAGCTAATGCGTGATAGCATGCACCGTATCCTGGGCAGAAAGCGACTGCAGGAAATTTTGGCTTCGGCCTTGGTGGACTTATGGAGATTGAACTTGGTCCTTGTGCTGAGTTCTCGTTGTATCATCTCATGGACCTTGAGCCTGGTGAAGAGAGGTTGGCTCCAGGTGCTGATAGGTCTGTGCTCGAGGGACCGTTGTTGAGAGGTACGGTCTCTCGAATTGGCAAAGGGTCTACGAACGAGACCAACGGCACTAACGGGCACATTACTTTGCCTGAGGTCAATGGCAAGCCTCCTCTCCGGACGAGCACCAGTCCTCAGCGTTCACCTAGTCCCCCAAGCCAAACCATCCAAAAGCCCGAGACACTATCAGACCTATTTCGCATTATCCGTTCCAAGAACGCTGGTCCATATGAGATCACGATAGACGCCATGTTCGCATCCACCGAAGCATATGAAGCTATCAAATCATCCGATTTCCTCTCAGCCACCAACGTTGCGAAGGCCATCGGCATCTCAGAGGAAGATATCATCTGGATTGGTTTCTTCGACCCCGCTATCTCTTTCAAGGTAACCATTCCCAGAATCCGATCGGGTAAGAAGAAATCTGCCGGCGGGTTCATGGAGAACGATATCCATGGGTCACAGGAGCACATAGGTCTTGCGAGCCTGAAGCTCCCTAAAGAATTCAGCTTTTAGATCCATTACCAGGTGTTTGGGTAATCGCCCTCCAGTGACGTTGGGTCAAACTGAAGCAAGCTTGTGTACGGATCACTCCAAAAACTCTTCAAAAACTCTGGATTTCCATCCACTTGACTCATCATATCCCCATGATCCTGCACCGTCTCTGTCGTTATCTCCTCAGCCGTTCCCCCATTCCCTTCCTCTACCTCAACAGGCTTGCCTCGTATCTTTCCTGCTGTATTAACAGCATCAAACATCAAAGAAACGCCCATTCTATGATTAAGTACCAATTTCGTTTTATCCTCCTCTCTTGAAGTCTCCCGTCCGAGTGCTTCAAACACACTCACAATCCGACTGAACTCATCTTTTGGATCAATCGTACATGCTTTACACAGCGTTTGTGTCATAGCGACATGATTCGCTACTATCTGTCGCTCTTCAGGACCATCGGAACTCTGGCGAATGAAGAATTTGAGGAGAAAGATTGTTGAGAACCCCAAACATCTGTGGCGATCTTTCGGTTGGCACTTTTCGCGCCGGATGAAGGTGATGTTTTCGGGGTTGGTACGAATGGCGCGTGTTCCGATCTCAACGATTCTTAGGGCTATATCGCGTGCTGTTCGAAGAAGGATCTGGCGAGATGATGAGTTTGCTGGGGATTTCGTGATTACAAGTGTGTATATGTGTATTTTGGCGTCTAGGATTGCGTATTCAACTATGCTCTTCGTTTCTTCATCTGGAAGTATCTCGTTCTTTATTGCTTCAAGTTCAGTGTCAAACAAGCGGAGGAAAGATGAACTCGTGCCGTCCAACAGCTCATGGTTGAGTAACGCTGTGAATTTTGCGACGACTAGTTGGATACGAACTTCAATCGCAAAGGCTGGCGGTACGGTTTGCCGTTTCAAAAATGCATGAATCGCAGCAAAGTCCAGCTCCGATTCAATGGGGCAAGGGAGGCCCAGGTGTAAACTCAGTCTGGTTCTGTTAGTAAAGAGTATCGCATTCCCGGCTTCATGCACTCACGATGTCGAAACACTGAAACATGACAGCCAAGTGTTGATTCTTGACCGAATGCTGCCGGATGTGACTCCAATAACACGAAGAGATGGAATAGTTTGCTGACGATCAAGACTCAGATACCGAGCAGCTTGGATAGCAACACCACAGTAAAGCCAACTGGGTTCTTTCCATTGTTTTTCTGTAGGCAATGGCCAGTTACAGAGAAGTAACAAAGCCTGGACTTTGTACAGTGGTAGTGGCGCATCAGTTACAGTCTCCTGTACCAATCTCTCATATGGCGCCCGAAGCAACTGGAATAAGGCAATGTTCTCAGGTTCGGGTAATCGAGAGAGTACAATTGTGACGATTGTCCAGAAGAGAAAGGGCTGGTTCTCATAGGCTGCTTGGGCTGAGAGCGAGGCGACCACCGGGAGTCGAGGACGCATGTACTCGGCAAAACTAAAGTCTATGAGTATATGGAGAGGGATCAAAGAGGGGCCTTACATCATGAAGGTCTCCGTCGCAGTGGAAGAGTCGACGACTACCCCAGCCAAGCTCACGGTAAACGATGTAAGCTCAAAGTCATCTACACCTTCATCCTGGGACGCCGGCGACCTGCTCTCAGATTTAGAGCTCGATCCAGTTGCCAATTGATCCTCTGTACGATGAGTCTGGCTGCGCAGTTCTTGAAGTTCCTTGCTCATAGCCTCCAAACGCCTATGCCGTCATTAGATCAGTGATACTCCCGGATCATGCGGCTTTGATACGTACTTTCTCGCCGGCGTCCTCTTGAAAGTGGCGTCCACCGTGCAGAACAAATGTCTTGCATTGCACCGAGAGCACGGATCGGGGAACTTCTCCTTAGAATCACATCGCAACTTGCTAATCAGCTCTTGTGTATCCCATATTGAAGATGGAAACTCGTACCTTTGCTTGCTTACACTCCGTACACGCCTTGACCGGCCTCGAGGCTAAGTGACTCTGCGGCATTAAATAAATATGTTAATTAGATGTTTGTTGGTTACACAACCATGCGGGCGCTGGGAACTTTAAGGAAATTGCCGACGTTGTAGCCGTTAGACGGGCCGTTCTTGCTACAAGCTTATCGATAGCGTTGTAAGCCACCGACAGTTGGTTACTGAAGCGGGAATGGCTTGGCGGCTCCTGGATTTAGCCGGGAATGATCCAAGATCAAGCGGGGACGGTCATTTCTTGCTGCTGATTGGCAGATTTGGAGGTCTATTTTTAGATTGTAGGGTAAGTTGATATCGCGAGATCTTTACGAAGTTATCGAGGTAGGCATTTAAGGTCTCTGGGTTTTAATGTCTAGCTGCTCGAAGCTTGTATCTACTTGACCTATTGATTCGATTTTACAGAGTCGCTTGCTCTATCATTATCCAGTCCGGCCATCTTTTAAGAGAACTCAAATAATCGAAATGTGATATAATAGTATAAGAAATTAACTTTTTAGTTGATAGCTTTGTATATACGTTACATAAATGGATTCATGTCTTTGTTACTATCAACCGCCGCAACTTTGTAGCATAGTGAGATTGCATATGCATTTATGAGTAGTACAATTACCATGCTAACTAAGAACTATTCTTCACAAAGTTCCTCTTATTCTCTTCCAACCAGGCTCTGAAATCTTGCATCCCAGGATTATAAGCACAGCACTCTTGTACATCCCCACCATAACCCTCATCTGCAAACCACTTGAACATATCACCAACAGACCCTTTCAACACAAACTTGACAGCACTCGCAACCGGACAAGGCGCCAGAGCCATCTTTTGACCGATGACTTCATAGTAGATAGCATCTGCCTCACGCTGCGTGAGCTCATCACCCACGAGCGTCAATGCCGCCTTCTTGTACATCTCTGGCCAGATCAGACTCTGAGCCGCAAACCAACCAATGTCTTTGGTCGACACCATCTGGAGCTTCTTACTTCCCATCTGCTCCCACATACGCGCGAAGCCCTTTCCGTGAATATCAGTCGTGATATTCTCGAAGAAGGTTACCGGCCGAAGAATAGTGTATGTCATCTGCTGCGCGCTGTCGCGCGCCTGCTGTTCAAGGTGTTTCTCGATGGCATATTTCGCAGCAAAGTTTTTGACGTAGGTTGGATTATTGGGGGATCGCTCAGGTCCACCGCGATCTCCGGAAGAGTAGACAAAGTGCTGAGCACCATGCTGTACAGCGGCATTGACGACAGCTTTGCCTTGCTGTTCTTCTGCGTCTGAATTGACCTGGACGCTATAGACGCCCCATACCGGGCCGGCTTTGGCGAAGATTACACCAACGTTGTCCAGATCACCTTCAATGACAGATATCTTGGGATTGGTCGCAAGAGCCTGAGCTTTGCGGCTGGTAGCGTCGCGGGTGACAGCGATGATATGGAAGGAAGAGTCAGGCGAGTTGGAGAGGATATTGTCAATGACAGCACCGCCTTGCTTGCCGGTGGCGCCAAAAACCAGGATGGTCTTTTGTGTATTGGATGCTGACATTTTGATTGTCGGAAGTGGAATTAACCCTGAATGTTGTATGATTGTAGGTAGGATGTTGAGAAGAATTGATTGACTGCTTAGATGGGAATGATCTTTAAGATCGCGAAAACATCTGTATTTATATAGTGTAACTATTCGCATTCTCTTGCACTTTAACGGCTTCCGGACTGACATTTCTGTATACGTAGACTGAGACGGAGTAATTAAATTATCTTGAAACTCATAGCTGAAAGATCGCCGTGCGAGTGCGAAAAGATAGAGGCCCCTTCAGGCGGAGCAACGCCTAGCTTGTGATATACTAGCACATTTTAGGTTAGACCTGCTCTCATGTTTCCTCTTTCGAGCTAGTAAGCGAATGCGAGCCGGCTAGTTTATTCGCCCATTTGTCGTGACGATGCTGTTTTTAATTTTAATCCTCTTCCCCGACTGCGAAATTCAAAGGTTTCCTTACAACACTACCACGATTGGAAAAACGATCTTTGTGACATACCTCTAATTCTATACGGCAAGAGGTAACGCACGAACAAATCTCTTATTACACACTTCTACTCTAAAAAGTTGAGTCTAGCTCTCTCGCGTCAACTAGTGACAAGAATCACAAACCAATCATCCAATGTATCCCCTAGTCGTCATCACTATAATAGTGGTTCACAACCGGAGGCTTAGCACCAGTACCGTATGCACTACCACCATAGTTCAGATAACCCTGCGAGTACGGCAGAGCAGGGAACTTGCCCTTGATCTCCTGCGCATCGCCAAACACCCAAACCGTCGCCATACCCATGACCTGGTGCTGAAGAATATGACAATGCATCATCCAAGCTCCGATGTTCTCTTCGGTGATCTTGATTCTCCATGCTCTCCAACCAGCTGTATGGTGAGGCACGCCCTTAGTAGCATAGCGATACAAATTAGTAGAGTCACGAAGAACAGGCGTGAAGTTCTTGAAGTGCTTCTCGTTCTCATGCGCATCGTAAGTCCCATTACCTGAGCCTAGATCATAGACATGGTAGCCGTGGACATGCATCGGGTGAAAGTCCCAGCCTCCTGTAGGACCGTTGTTGTTCTGCCATACGATATCCAAGACTTCACCGACCTTGGCTGGGAAGGCTTTTGTGTTGGGATCAAAACCGCCGTGCTCTAGAGCGAGGGTATAGTTGGGTGTCTGGCCAGTTTCGTAGACTTGGATGAGATATGGGACTTGGTTGCGCTCTGCTTGGACACTTTCCTTCCATGGGAGACCATTTTGTCTAGATGAATTGGTCAGTAAGATAAAGTGAGAAATGTAAGATAGTACTCACGCCCAGGCAACTGTGCCGTTCAATGTTCCATTTTCATATTGTCCAGTGGTCAGGACCTGATTGATCTGAATGGTCACCGTCCTGGTAACCTCGCTCAAACGAGGGAAGGCCTTGTTGTTGTACTCCGAAAGTCCCTGGAGCTTGTACTCAAGGTAGTCGTAAGTGTTATTTGGCAAGACAACAGGTGAGGAGAGTGGCAGAGTCCTTGGCAGCTTTGGTCCCTTAGGGCATTTGTATCTCAGAATAGCGTAACCACTGATCTGCTTCGGTCGATCACGACTCTCATATCGTACCCAAAACTGTGAATCGTCACCATGGCAAACCTCTTTGGCGGACTTTGTCTTTAGCAGATAGCTGAAGCGCTGACCGGATGAAACCTGGACGTGATCGACCTTGGCGGGCTTGGTATATGAACCATCAGCTTCAATGACAGTTAGCTTCTCGTGCCCGTCAATTCCAAGCTTGATCATTGACAAAGCAGTCGCGCCAATGAATCGCATGCGATACTTCTTTCCGGGATTGACTTCAATGACATGAGGCGTGCAGCTAATGTCAGAAGCAGTATCGAAGCTCTGGTTTCCAGAATTGCCGTTGATGGTAATCGCTTGAGGCTCCCCAGACCACTTGAACGGGTCCCCGAGAAGACCCGCCTCAATTGTTTCATCTGATGCATCGTAGTTATCTGAGACGATGAGCGCAAAGTCCCCGTCGTACTTGTATTCGGGTTTATCGGCATCCTTGACGATCAGCACTCCATGCGCCGTCAAGCTCTGGAGTCCAACGTGCGAGTGATAAAAGTACGTTCCCGCATCGCCACGCTGAGGTCGAACTTCATAATCGAAGAAGTTATTCGCAGGAATGGGCCACTGGCTGACGAGAGGTGTACCGTCGGAAAAGGGTGCGGCTCGTTGGCTTATTCCATGCCAGTGCTGTCTCTGTCAGCTGACGCTTCGTCAATTGATGTAAGCGGACTTACAACAGTGAGGTTCTGGTCTGGCACGCGATTGTACACACAGATCCAGACTGTTTGTTCTTCTTTGAGGTGCAGCGTAGGTCCCGGAAAAGTCCCGTTAAAAACAACCGATTGACGGGATTTGCAATTGACTTTGATGTCCTCCAGCGTCGCTTCAAGCACATAATCCGGCGTAAACGTCTGATCGTGCACCTTGCATTTGGCAGCTGCCAAAGCCAACAATGGCAACACAGCCAGAAGATTGAACATCATTTTGCAGACCCTGCCTCAAATCACAAGAACGAGATCCAAGGTAAATCTCAATTGCTATATATACTTCAGCATGATGCGGCACGTCGCATTGGGGGCCAGGTAGTCCAGGCCCTCCGAGGTGCATTGTCACCCAACAAGCTTTCAGCCCGGATGACACGGCGTGAGCACTAAAGTATCACCTGAAGAAAGGGGCCTAGCGACTTTCCAAAGCGAGCATGGCACGGTACGCAATGACGTCTGTGATAGTGTCAACAAGCGGTGCGATTTGGTAATAACCAACAAAATACGAATAATGAAGGACAAGCTAACAACGCAGTAAGCACAGTCGCCTTGATAATTGGTCATAAATTCAAGATCATCGGAGTTCTCACCGTTCTTTGGGCGCTGAGTCTGACCGTTTTGGGCATGTGCATGGCTTAGCCGGACTAAATGTGCTGTTAGCTTGGGGGCGTAAGGTTTTATCTAGGCGCTATCTAAGCATCTGCCGTGTTTGAAACAAATTGGCATATGCAGAGAACTTCGCAAACTTCGCTAGTAGCTGGGGTTGCCCCCGCTCGCGTTAATTACAGCCCCGTTGATCTGCATGACAGTTATTTCGGGGCTTCGGAAACGGCAAACTTTAATTGGGAACTGTTACGCGGACTGCCGTGGATCAGATGATGTGCGATAGCTTCAGTGAGATTCTGGGGGTATGTCGGATGTCGAGGCCGCGCGATTGTTCAATAAATGAACTCTGATGTTTGGCCAAGTAATACTTTGGCTGTTACTATCCTACGGAGGAGATCAATTTATGAATGAGCGTGAAAATAAGATGGGGTCTAGTCCAGGCTGCATCATCCATTCCAACCGGTCGCAATCAACTCTGACCCCAGGCCTGAATGTGAGCAGGAACTGTTTATGTGAAACATAAGCTACCATGCACTTGATTCCCTGTTCTTCCCGTGACCTTGGTAAAAGTAATTCCTAATGAAGCGCTCCGTCTACATCTGTTTGAGGGAGACCCTCACGGCAACGGATTACGCCACGAACAAAGCGTATATGGAGCGTGGACTATCTACGCTGTTGGAAATTGTTTGCAACTTCAGAAGGATCCGCGCGCGATAGAGACTCATGCCAAGGCTCTTCAGATCAGAGAAGACCTGCTCGGTGACCATTACTTCACTGCGATGTCTTATCATAAGCTTGGTCAACTATATTTGGAAGCGAAGTCATTTCAAGAAGCAAGCGATGTGTTTGAGAAAGCCCTTGATATCCTAGAGATCCCGTCAGCCAGGGCAAAGGCAGAGATAGCAAGGACTGCCTGGTACTGGAGCAGCGCAAAGGAAGGCATGCATGATGTATCTGAGGCTAAGAAATTGAGGGAGAAGGCAATTTGTATTGGAAACGAGCTATTGAGTCCTCGAAAGGTTGAGAAGTGGGTTGATAAAGATTTTGACAATCTTGTCGTATACTATAACAGATAAAAGGGAAACGCAATTAATGACTGGGGTTGGAACTACCTGGCCTTGCGGAAAAGCTCTCCATCTTCCTGTGTATCATCAATCCTCCAACGAATAGCAACAACTTCTTGATCCTCCAAAATAAATTGGATTTTGTAAAACGAGTATGGCCTGCACCACTGACCCCGCTCGATGATGCGATCAAAGCTCTCATTAAATACAAAGGTGTGCTGTTCGTAGTGACGAAGGCTGTATCTCTCGTCATCCCGATTCTGAAGCGACATGATGAGATCGCCATGGTTTTCAAACCGGATACTGAAACAGAATTGACTAGACCTATGCCAGAAACATCCCCGGTATTTCGTCAACGGACCAGGAGGTTCAGTGGGCCGTCTTTCTCTGTCCAAGATTGTCTGTACACGTTCCATGGTAGATCGCCCTTGCAGAGCTGCAGCAGTAAAGAACTGGCTTAATCCCCTATCAATTTTCCCTGAAAGGAATGCTTGAGTCAGGATCTGAGCGGTCCAGTCCGTAGCATCGCAATGGCCCAAAGAATTACCAAGAACAATGATCCCTGTACCCAACTCGGGCATTAGGTACACTGCCGAAGAGCAGTCAATTTTGTTGCCAGCGTGATGGAGTAACAAAGGCCCGTTTGCCATGCTTCCAATCGTGGGATATGTGTCTAGCAATCCTGAGTTGCCAGTGATCTCACTGACTTGGTTCGGGAGCTGCGTACGTCCCCAGCCCATACCGTAGGACTGCTCGCGCAGAACCATGGTGACCTTAAGAGGAATAGCAGCCTTGAAAATAGAACGAAGTTCTTCAAAATTGATGTTGAGCGCCTCAACTTTGGTTGATGTGGCAATTGCTTGTAGAAGAGAACCATAAAACACGAGGAGATCGCGCATGCAACTTCGAATGCTGCCGGCAGAAAATGCAACGGTATCGCTTGAGATGTTGAGAGTTGGAACCTCGCGTAGCTCCAAATCATGGTAGGCTAGATAAGCTCGGGAGATATTTTGATCTGTGTTTGATGGTTGCTTGGTGAATGTCCTGGTCATGTTCAAAGGCTTGAGGATACGGTTGGCGAGAAACTCGCCATAGCTCATACCTGACACTTTCTCGATGATGTACCCCACCGCATGATAACCAAAGTTGTTGTAAATGAACTCTTGGCGTGGTGGGCGGCTTATATCGAGTGACGCAAGTAAAGCGGTGCGCTGGGTTTTGGAAAGAAGTAGGCTATTATTTGATCCAATGAAGAGTGCATCAGACCTACAAAGACCCGTCCGATGACATAGTAAGTCCCGAATCGTTGAATTGCCAACATGGGTGTGGCGAAGTTCATCGAGAAAAGTGTCAACACGGTCATCCCAGTGAATTGCCCCATCTGTGACGAGACAAGCAATAGTTAATGCTGTGAACCCTTTGCACATGGACCCAATATTGAAAACAGTATCAGCATCTGGTCTAAGCCCTTGATTCACATCACGGGAACCGATATACTTGTCGAATACCTTCTTATCGTGGCCCAACACTCCAATCGCAAGGCCTGGGGTGCCGGAGATGAAGCAAGCTTGCTGGATATCTGCCTCAGCGGAATTGAAGATCTCTCCCCAGGTAGATGTGCCACCTGATACGCGGGTATTGTGCTTGAGGTCCATCTTGACAATGATGTATAAAAAGAGAGTTCTGGGCAAGATGTGATGTTCGGAGCTGAGACTTGCGACTGAGAGATTAGATTAACGCAGAAAAGTGAGGATAAAAAGAGAATGCGATTAAGAAGTTGATATTGTGATTGAAAGTCAGATATATAGAAATGAAGAGGGGGTGCGTTGCGCTGAGTCACGTGTATCCTGCCAGTTGATGTTGTCATGATAACAAGAACTATTGATCATAGATTGCTATAATAGTATGTTTCAACTTTCTTTAGTGGTTAAATTGAATTGAATTAATTATTATCTAACTTGGCCAAGTTTTAATTATTCATTGTTTGACCGTGATCAAACGTTAGGTCAATACTGCGCAAAGTTCAACGCATTTATGCAGGTTCAAATCTGAATTGTTACAAGGACTGCCATGGACGAGAGATGAATGTGCGGCGTGGTATACGGTGGCTTTAACGAGGCTCGGAGAGTATGTCACGACAGCGCGAACGGCGTAAGATCAGTAGTATATTAGAATTTCGGAATTCAGGACTGAGTAAGTGACGACGGTCTTGATGCATTAATAGCTAGACCTTGCCAAAATGTCCAGCGACAAGCTCGAACCCAGAACCAAATACACCAGCCGCCTTATAAACCCGCCGGTGTCGAACCTTGTCCTTTTGCCATTGGCCGCTCGATAGCAGTCCGCCTCGCTTCTGCTCTGAGACGACATATTTTGTTGATATGCTGGCACTTCAAAGGCTGTCTACCCGATCCTATTTGACGGGCCGCTGTTAGAGAATTTAGTCAAATTTTGTGTAGTCTCATACTCACATCAATTAAACCTTCGTGTCTTTCGACTCCCAGCCATAGAATTTGTAGTAGGAGGATCATCGCGCGTCTTGCGCTTGCTAACAGCAGTAGTCCTGATGGTACGTGTCGCAGGGTCCTGGCTGTCTGTTTGTCCCTTCGTTGACGTTGAGGAACTTGGACCCGATTGGTTGTCAGATGGGGTTTAGGTGATTCTGTAATGCCTGTTCTGGTGGCATCGTCGTAGTAATCGCGAAAGAAGTCACTGCCAGGAGGGCCTGGCTCATCATAGTCCGCATTGGAAACGAGAATGCGGACGTCCTAGTATTGACTGGCCTTGATGAGATGGTCTTTGGTAACTACCCGTTGACCCCCAGAGGCTTCACGCCTCTCGGCTAGACATTCGAGGGTATGCCTGACGTCGGCCACCGCCAGCGCCCTCCAATCACTCCTCTGATCACAGGCGCCAATGACTCGCGTGAGGATTAGATGGAGACTCTGTAGCCACGAAAGTTCCATAATGTCAGGTGCCGCTGTTCCCAACTAGAGCCAGGGCAACTCTCCAACAATGTCTTCGATCTCTCGACAGAGGATTGTCGTGGGCGCATCTTCACAAAGCAAGCTGATATTGAGGGGCTGATTCGAGGCCGCTGGAGGGCTATTGCCAGAAGACATGGTATGCGACCAACGGATAAGATACCTCGAAGCGACGTGGATGCGTGGTTGATATTAAGATGGTGTTGTAAGTGTGAAGAAATGAAAGGTTCCGGAGATGGCTCGTAAGTAGAAAAGATACCGAGACGCGTTCAGCGCGGCTCAAGCAAATGATTCGAGCGCGTCAAAACTTTGCTGGAAAAAACAACTCAAGCGCTGTACGGATGGATGGAGCGACGCCCTCAGAAGAGAAACCACTTGGCCCTCTATTGTATGTAGACTCATTCAGTAATTGTCATTATTCACAAAAGCCTTTGATGAACTACAACCTCTTGATCAACTTCTTACTTAACATAAGCCTCGACACGACGATCAAAAACGTGGCAGCAGACCCAACACCAGCCGCGTAAAAGATGGCCGCTCTATAAGGCTCAATCGACGAAGCCTCCGACGCGCCCGCAGCATCAATCAAAATCCCCGCCAAAGGCGCGCCCATCAAATATCCTGGTGTCCAGAATGACGTCATGAGACTGATAGACGCAGCAGCTGATCCGGGCGCAAGTGCAGCTACAGCTGTCGGCAGTGCAACAAAGAAGCTCCCGTTCGCACATCCGTTGATAATGGCGAAGGCGAAGAGTGGGGGGAGAGATGAACTGACGGGCCAGATTGCTAGCATGGACACACTGTTAATAAGAGCTGCAAGAGCCAGAGAGTTGAAAGCACCCATGCGGTCGCAGATCCATCCTCCGAAGAGACGACCAACGGCTGTGGATGCACCGAAGCCTGCGACGAGGCCAGCGCCTGTCGAAGCCGAGAGACCAATCGACCTCGCGAATACTGGCAAGAAGAACGGTGGCACAAAGAGAGCGAAGACTCCGACAGCGCCCGACATGGTGAGAGTTAGAAATGGCATGCTCTTCAGCTGTGACCAGTCGAATCTCGAGGTTGTTGCACCACGCCTAAGCTCTGTGAGGAGATAGGCACACGGTATTCCTGTCACAAGAATCGAAACACCGAGAATTCGGAAAGTCCACTGAAGCCCAACCTTGTCGATCATCGCTTGGGTTGCCAAAGGAAGCACAGTTGCGCCAACACCTCCTCCAGCTTTGACGATCCCATTAGCTGTACCGAGCTTACGGCTGAACCATTGAGTGGGCATAGTGTTTGTCGCAGTGTAGAGCAGCGACGTTGACAACCCGACGAGTAGCCCGGCGATACAGAAAAGCCCGGCGAGATGCTCAAGAGTGAAACTGGTGATGATCAAGCCTGATCCAAAGAAGATTGTCGCCACGAGACTGGTGATCCGGATGCCATATTCTCTTGACAACCTGACCGATATCAAGCCAAACGCGACCATGCAAGCCATGTACAAACTCCCAACAAATGTAATGGTTCGAATATTAGTATGGAGTCGAGGCGATTGAACAATGGCAGCTTGCAACACTCCCCATGCCGTAGTGTATCCATTTATCCAAAAGAGTAGAGTGAAGCACGATGCGACAATTGTCCAGCCATATCCGCCATCAGGAATTGCACTCGTGGCATTCTCTGGTGGTTCTTCCTCGTTTCCCGCTGAATCTTCAGTTGTATTGAGTCGACTTTGGCTCAGCGAGGACATCTCAATAGCGTCGCCTTGGCGTGATGGATCCATGATGGATGTTGTGGCGGACTCTGCGACTGTGTTTGTGGCCATTTTGACGATGATGGGTCACTTCCACTTTGAGGAGTGAGAGTATTATAAGGTACATAGGTAAAACGCAATTGATGCAGCGAGAATTGACGCCGAATTATATCGTCATCACATGAAGGGCGCACTTTCTGGGCATGGCAGACGAAGGGCGCGCGCATAAGCAGAAGCATAAGCAATGACGACATTCAACATGCCTTTATCTTGGACATGGACAGCCATCGTCCCAGTCAAGTTAGACATACTTTCACCGCCGATAAACTCTTTCCTAATATGGCTTCAACGCGGGGTTAAATGTTTTGTGCTCACAGATCTAAGTCGTGGCATTCCATCAATTGACTCCAGTATAACATCTGATAAAGATCACCAACTGTGGTGGTTTGTTTCAATCTCAAACTTAGCTCTGATTAGGGTTTCTTCGGTCAGAGATAGATATTATTGCGCAAGTTGTAGAAATACCATGCTCTAAAGGTTGTCAGCACATGCCACCACGATGCTATGAGACATAAGCTTGGAGGCGGCAGATTGCTAGTCTGTCTAGCAAGTACACGATGTTGAATGGCAAGAACTTGATTCTGATCACGGCACACCACGGTCTACGCGACCAACCGGAAGGAGATATTGTCGCGGAACAGTAACAGCGAATCAATGATATCCTCTGCGTTGTGGTGTCATGAGCTCCGCCGGACAAGGTCTTCTATTCACGTACGGAATTCCGCTCCCAAAGCACAATGAACCCCGTAGGCCCGTATCTTCATATAAATGGGGCTCCGCTGCCGACAAATCACTAGCTCTAACCAATGTGTGGCAGAGCTCTGTGATATGATATCCTGAGGATAAAGTGGTACCGAAATACATTCCAGTCACATTACTAAATGTGTCTAAAGGGCTCACCCCGAACATATCCTTTGGCCATGTGAAACTCCTACTTCGACTCTTTGTTACTCTCCTTTTTCTTTTCCTCTCGCTTCTTGCTTGGACATGTTAGGTTAGGGCACGTCTCAGCTGTTAAGACTACCAACACGTACACACTCCAGTCCGGTACTCCTGGCATGAGATGCCACCCGTAAGAAGGCGCGTCTCCTCTGAGAATGCGTATCCGTTCTTGAACATCGGCGCCGCGTATATAAGGCTGACAATAGTCCCATCTAACAAACTCCATATAGCCACAAGCCGTGCAATACTTAACATCCTTTATATACATGGTGTCGTTCACTTCGGGGTTCTAATGGCCAGTATTGAAATTATGTAGATATTAAGTAAGAGCAGGATTTAGCTCATTTGTGGAGGCCAAAGACCTGAATTTATACAAAGACGTGCCGAACATTAAATGGTAAGTGGCGCTGAACAGATATAGACTAGAAAAACCCGTTCAAATCGGTACATTAAGAGAGGATCAGTATTCTAATACTAAGTCATCCAGAAGGCCCGAGTTTAGCTTTACATCGTGCTACTAAATAATTAACTAGGTGCTACCATCTGCTGAACAAATGAATTAGGTCTCAGGCTCATTCCCATGTTGCTTCTCATTCTCCTTGTCACCTTCAGGCTGTTTCCCTATCACTTTCTCCTCCGCCTTCTTTGTGTCCTCCTCCTCAGCCTTTTGCTTGCTAGGGCATTCTGGATTCGGGCAGGTCTCAGGAGTAAAGCTGCCGCCTACGGTAGTCTTCATTTCCCCGTTGATCACCCATGACGGAGAACGGAACGTCGTTGAACTAGTTAGTCCTAAATATGATGGGCAGTATATCCACTTCAAAGTCTCGGTATGCTCGCAGGCAGTACAGTATATTATCTCTCGGATACACATGTTATCACTGGCGTAGGTAATGTTCTTGAACACAAACTCTTCGTTGGTGGATAAGATGTCCCTATTCTGGAAGAGTATCGTTAGAGAGATAAGTTGACACTGAGCGCTAGAATTTATAGTCCCCTTTTTGTGATGTACCATGCGTGATGGATTAGGACATGGATACTGACTTAACTCCAATTATAGGACTTGGTGGCTATTGAAGAGCAGTACGGTGAATCATTATACAGGACGAGATATAAAATCTAGACTCGGTGAATAGACATCAACAAGTATTACAGCTGTAACGTTAACTTCAACCAGCAGCAGAGAATGCTGCGCCATTCCCTTGCTTGACTGTAAGCGTTGTAAAGATTTATTCAGCAGCGGAAGTAGAAGCAAGTAGTGATGGTAGTTAATGAAAGACAGCCATCCAGTACGACAATCTCATACTTTACATCATTCCTCACAGTATTCCATAGCGATGGCTCTATAGTGAGCCGCATAAACGAAGCGAGATTATCACATCTTCCTTGATCGACTAGCTGTTTCAGCTATCGAACTAACCATCACAAGAGCGAGTCAAAGTCAGATGTTGACATCGCATTTCCTTCATAATCGCATTCACTATGTGTTATTCATCAAAGCTTTTCTAGATGTCACAGTACTTAAAGGCTAGCAATACGAAGGTCTTTATTTCAGCTATCTGATACCAACTCCATCATCATAGCCGGTTTCTAACAAACTCTACGAGCCTAGTCCAACAAACGTATTCCAGTCAGTTCGGTGCGTGCCGTCAAATCTCTAGGGCGCTAGATGAAAGGGGGGTCTGGTGTATATGATCTGCCTGAAGCAATCCAGGCATTGTATTGAGCCACGCATGTTGTGCAATGATCAAACGTGGAACTCCTATTCTGATCAACTTCGGAGCAATTGCTCAAATCACAACGTTGCTTGTTAGCCCTGCGAGCCTTCTCACATCGACGTATTTCAAGGTCGACGCCTGTCGACATGTGGCACCGTCTGCAGCGATAAGTAATGTTTGTAAGCCAGCACATGATGAGCTAGTGATATATGGAAGATTTTAAACTGAACTTATTGTGGTATAGAACTTCAATAGAGTGTAGTGTTAGTGTTGGTGTAGGACAGAGAGACCTTCTTGAGGCTAAGATGACGGGCTTATATACTTGGGAAAGGTCAGTGATTCGCAGCGACAATGTATCGATATCAGATACCTCAGCACTACAGTGTAGCAAAATTTATGATCCAAAGGCCATGGCTTGTTAACAGCGCATCAGGATCAGCGTCTTAACTTCACAGCCTCTGGGATCTTCCGTATGGTATAGATCCCAACATAGCTGACCAATGTAAGTAAGCTATTAATGCCTGGTTCAGGTACATTCCCAGAGTCTCAAACATGATAGGCACTAGCTTATATGAAGTCAGATTTTACAGAATCACGGCGATAGACAGGTGATATGTGAGCTTTTGGATCTTTGCCAGGATACCATGTTCAGAAACAGTGAGTTCTATATGTGTAACTGCTCAGACTATTACCGTACAATGTTCAGGGAGTTTATAAATGTGGAGGCGATGGTATCAACGCCAGAAGTAACTCGTTGGATTCGAGGTTAGGGTTGTAGCTGTACGCAACAGCCGTACGTTACTCTCGCTCTCGAACCTTAGGACCTTCTATGCTGGCTTCATGCAGCTAAAGAGCCGCGTCACGGGTAAAACAACACATTTTATGTCTTTTGAACCCGCAGTATAGGAGAAGCTCCTCATTAGGTCAGCTGTCACTTAGCTAACGTTACATCAAGGCCATAGAAAAATATGTCTGATCTCTACCATAAGAGACTTAGGCTACTCCCGGAGGCTGACAGCCCAAACCCCAATAATGCCCATCCTAGCATTGCTACTCTAGGAAAAGGGTGGGTGAGGATAGTAGCGTCTTCCCGCCCTCAGAGCTGCCTGCCACCGATCGTACTCTCTCTCACACACATCGCATTCCTGCCATCTCAAAAGCCGATTTACTGCCCCGTCGGTGCAATCCTCCAGACTACAACGCCATTTGCCCTCCGCAGCTGCTCTCGCGCATCTATGGGTGCCGTACTCGCTACGTATCACCCGGGCACACCGTAAGCACCGGAAATAAGTGGTGACACAGACACACATATCGGCGCGTTGATATGTTTAGCGATATTATATTTACTTGGAGTGATATTGGTTGTGATGGAACCGTTGGCGAATGAGAGAAAGTGTTCCAGGTTCCGAGATTGACGAAGTAGATATCCTTGGAGACCATCAGTGATTCGCGGTGAGAAGTTTGTATCCCAGAAGAATTTGCGTTTCACTGAATACAGCAAGCGTTACCTTTCTTTATATATGTAACTCAAGTTTCACAATCACGCTGATCAAATCAAGATTGTATCAAAAGTGTAACATAACGGATTAGCTAGTATAGGCGCGCTATATTGCATAACTCCAATAGTGTGATTCACCACCTGAGCAATATTAACTCATGTTACACAATATCTACTAGAAAGCAATTTAATCTCAATCAGTGAATCAGCCTCTTCATAGTAGCTCGCCAATTAATCAGGCATGATTTACGACAGGATGCGCCCATATTAGTGTATTTCTGGTATATTGAAGGCTATCATATTAAGGTAGGCTCTTCTTCCAGGCTATCTAGAATCTCACTTTCCGTAATTCTCATACCCAGGGAAAGGTGGATCAGGTCTTGGAACGTCATCACCCTCATCTACACGCAACTTCCAGAGAAAGAAGTCCGCACGACATGTTTCGCAGTTTTCATACGGCTCCAAAATCTCCCAAGGGGTTGTCCACCTCGCATCTAGGCAAACATAAATACCTCTCTCTCTGGCTTTAGGACATCGCCTGGCTTCGATATTAGAGCTCAGCTGACATTTGCAGCGTTCGCAGAGGTGGAGGGTATCTTTGACTCGGCACATATCGGGGCTTGATCCTTTAGATTGGAGGGATTCTCTAGTTTGATGAGAATCGAGATCAGATAGTTGTAGCGTCCTAATGGATCTAAGCGAACGGGGATTCTTCCTTGTTCTAAATGAGAAAAGACTTTCTAAAGAATGCTGATAAGATTTATATATACTTTGAAGATCAGTGATTAGTAAGTGTTGATATCATTTAGCTATTTGCCGTTCTGGAGCGATCGATTTGTTAGGATAATGATATGTGATGCCATTGAGATGACTCCACTGAGTAGTGGTGAAGGTGGGCAATATGCAATTCATGTCTCAGCTTCTGCTATAAATTACTGATCACTAAATCTGCTTTCAACACTGCATCACTGAAAAAAAGGAGCACTTGATCATTCACTGTGGTTGCCAGCGCTACCAAGGATGCAACAGCTCACGCAACATCTCTAAGTCTATAATTATTTATTTATTCACTGAATAACTGGTATGCTCAAAGTGGGATCTAAGTTAGAGAGCTTAATCAAGAGCCTTGTTACTGTAGAAGAATCTATACCCTGTTATGAACGTCAAGTCAGTAGCGTCGGAATGGAGGATAAGGGTCAGGAACGGGCCATCCCCGTCTTAAATCTGTCTGCCATTGATCGAACTCTCTTGTACATGCCGAGCAACTGGTCCAGGGTTTTGTTCTCCAGACCGGTGCCATCGAGGTAGTATTGCTGCAGCTGCTGACGCCTTGCTGTAGGGCTGTCATGCATCTCGTAATATCAACTTCGAAACCGAGATCTTTATTGCAGCGCTCACACTTGTAGAATATAGCCGTCCTGTAGCACATTACCAAGATCCCTTATTTGAGGTAAGCTCCACTGCTCGAATAAACTCAGTCTGTAGTTTGAGAAGAGAATAATTGTTCTCGGTTGCTGGTGGTTATGGGCAGAGTATGGTAGGGTTTAAAAGCTTTTATATGTATAGCTTAAGCTTCATTTAATCACGACAGAGCAACATCTACGCATCACTAGAAACGCTTCTATGATAACGATGGCACATAAGACGATCAAAAAGGCATGTGGCCCGTTCCCGAAAAAATGGACAAGCAGTGAATTCTGTACGATTAGGGTTCTACCTGTAAACTAATAGAATGGTGGATTAGGCTGATAATAGTGTCCCTGTCGCTGAGCAGCCAACCACGCGTTGTACTCGGCCATGCAGGATCTACACTGCTGCCAAGGTGTTACCGAGTTCGCGCTCCGTTGCTCGCAAGAGCTCCTGTCGCAATCTCTCCCATGTGCTATAGCCTGCGCACAACAATGGCGACGCTCCTCTTCAAGTGTGATTCTCCCACACCGAGAGCACGTATAAGTAGATTTAACAATGACACACATTCTCAAGATAATCTTTCACTCTTCTGGCTTGTTATAATGTGGACTTTGAGAATTTGATAAGTCCGGTTGGTGTGAGTTTATTTAAAGAAAAGAAACCGACTACCTGTCTTAGCTAGCCTGCTTTTATACACCAAGAGAGTCCGTGACTAACTCTCATTTCCGAGGTCATAAGATTCAGCTTCAAATATTGATCATCTCAAATGGCGGATTGGGTTCATAGTAGAATCCAGCTTGCTGAGCCGTATACCACGCTTGATATTCTCTAGAGCACGCGTCACATTCCATCCAAAAGACTGGCCGGTTGACCTCACTTGACGTGCATTTGTGTGGCGGGCAGATGGGCAGACTGGGGTTGGGGTTTTCTGCACATTTTGCATAATCCTGCTTGGATCTGGTGATGCAACGACAGCGGCAGCAACGGAAAGTGACGTTAACGATATGACACATTCTGTTACTTAGTGGTTGGTACTTTCTGTTAATTCTGTTGTTTTACTTTGATATTGAGGATTGTATATGAAGATTGATTTGAGAGGAAATGGTCTTTGGACCTCCAGTACTATAGGTTAATATACTTGTAGAAATATGGTGAATAACCAACAGTTGACAGTGCAGAGGCCAGAAAAGTTTTGTTTCCAAATCTTATGATGAGTGAATGAGGACCTGTTTGTATCCACAGGAATATCACTCAACATATGCTGTTTGACAGATTCTGAGTCTAACAAAGATCGCTGCATCATTAAAGCCTTTTGTATTACAGCATTCATGTGCGTCTTTTTTTCTAGCAGGGAGATCGACGTTACTACCACGGTCTAGACCAGCATCGCCATTGCATCACAGCATTACCAAATTTGGTACCCATCATTTTCTTCCTCCGCTGCGTAGTACGGTGCAACGCAAGTTTCACAATACCACCAATTCAGCACCCTGTCTTCCGACCTATGTGTGGAGTAACGACTGGCACATCTATGGCGACGTGATCTTGCTCTGGCGTGTCTGCATCGCCTAATATCTCGCTCGGTGTCTAATACTCCCCTGCATTTAGCGCAGATGTATGTCACAGCTATCATGTGGCACATCAGTAATGCTGACTTCCTTTAATTAGCTTTTATAAGAAATAGAAGATTTCTTTCTTGTAGAGATGAGAAGTGATTGCGATTTATGTACCTGGGCGGCCTCAGTGATTGATCTTAGCAGTATGAGAATAGTATCCATATACGCCGTCGATTGCTTCTGATTGGTAGTGGCATACCATACATGCTGGTGATTCACTGTGCAACTAGCTGGAGCAAAAGCCTTACGTTACTCGGGAAAATCCGTGTCCGCTGGGAATCAGAAGCCGGCGCTCTCTGTTGTCTTACAAGGCAAAGGGATTCCATATGTTGGTTAAAGCGCCGGTCCAGCAGACAAGCTCACCAATCAATGCACTCCCCCCTATTTACGTGGTTCGTTCTGTCTTCCTTGTTGAAATCTTTGTTGGCTCCCTTCTAGGGCCTCTCTTGATTGTATCCAGGATTGGATGTGAATATCCTGTAAGCCGCTCGCTCATCTGCCACGCATACACCTCACTAACTTCGACATCCTTCCCCGGAACCGATCAAATAGTCAACGCATAAAGATCAGCATGAACCTTAGATTTTTCTAGCCACATAATGATATATCCAATTCTGTTTCCGTAAAATGAGGACGCGTAGACATCATCTCAATTAAGGCTCTCGGAATCCCGAGACAGCGTCTGACCAATGGCTGGCCCTTGGCGTCGACCAACAAGCCAATCATGGACCTCTAAAATTGACGCCCAGCCTGCACAAGTGGCTTTATGTCTAAGTTTAAGCATAATATTGACGATCCGGGATCCCGATACCGCCGTCTCATCATTCGATATAAGGTTGAATGGCACAGCCCTCCAGGGAGAAGCGGTTTACTTGCTTTCATTGCCACATTGATGTACTCAACGGGATTTCCGATGCCGATCATTATTGACTGCCGAAGATAAAATCGCCGTGTTGTTCCAATCTAAGAACTAATAAATCTTCATAACAAGCCAGCATTATATCCCATCCGACGACTGACGAACCTCGACTTCCAACCTTTCGTTGAACTCACCTTTCATACTCTGTTTCAAGCATCCGGCTATTAAGATGAACAATACTCAAAGAGAACGATGTGAGAAGATTTCTCCCGACTGTCCCCTCGAGGACACCATCTACGGCTATGTCCCGAACATGGGCGGCAACGCCTTTTTCGGCGTCATCTTCAGTATCTGCACCCTTGTCCAAGTCTACTTCCTCATCCGCTACTGGCGTCTCTGGAAAGGCTACACCATTCTCGTCCTTATAGGCAGTCTGCTCGAATGCTGCGGTTACGCCGGCCGAATTCTCATGTCCAAGAACCCGTGGGACGGCGCGGCTACGTCAATCCAGTTCGTGCTTCTGATGGTCGGTCCATCGTTCCTTGCTGCAGCGCTTTACATGACGCTTCGTGCTTTAGTACAGTACTTTGGGGAACAGTATACCAAGCTTCCAGCGAGACTTTGGACGTGGCCGTTCGTCACTGCTGACATGCTGGGGTTCTTCTCACAGTGTGTTGGTGGTGTCATGGCGTCGATGACGGAGAAGTATCCTTCTCTTGGAACTGTTGGAAGGGTGATCATGGTGTTTGGTGTATCATTTCAGGCCGTCGTCATGGCCATTGCAGGTATTCTTGCTGCTGACTTTGCTTTGCGTATGCGTCGAGAACGTGGAAGTGTCTTTCGACATCTACCCAAAGACCTCAACATCTTTCTGATCTCTCTGACGGTTGTATTCCTTCTCGTTCTCACCCGTTGTATCTACCGGTAAGTGGCATCATCCTATACGCATAACAGCACACCCTTGCTTAACAGCTCTAGAATCCCCGAGTTGGCTGGCGGCGTCGGCGGACGCATGATGCGACAAGAGGTTGAGTTCATGATCCTCGATGGCTGGTAGGTCAAGTCTATCTCTTGCCTTCAATTGACCCCTTTCTAACATTAAATCCTTGTTAGTATGATCGCCATATCAGTCATTTTGCTCTCCGTCATCCATCCTGGTATCTACGCTACCGCAATCCATGGCGGTGCCGACCATCGATCCAAGTCAGTCAGACTCATGGATCTCGAATCGAGTACATCTCGAGATGGATCTGGCAGAATACCTTCAGATAGATCGCGGAGAGGACATTCAAGCAGATCACACAGATCACCGTCAAACAGATCACGTAGGTCACCTGCAGGACGATACGAACCTCGGCGAGAGCATCGACGAGAGCCCTCCGACTACTGAGTTCGGCGACGTGTTGTAGCGAATACACGCTCAAGGATGAGAGGATATCACAGTTAAGAGTAGGGGATATACAACACCGTCAATGGTGGTTGTAGTTTGGTGTTCTTGACGGTTTTCTTATGTTTACCGTTCTCATTCTCATGAACCATGTTTTTGTGTAACTTATGGCTGTTTTAGAGATAGAAGTGTATATCAGCGGCTCAGCTAGACTATCACTGCTCCATTTGCGCATCGTAATACCCTTTGGCCTAAACTAACAGTCCCAGAGCATGCTGTAAAATAGCCAAAGCTTCTAACCCTAACCTAAGACACTTGTCCATGTGGGGTTTGCTGTCCTAGTCCCATCAAAGTACACGAGATAGTAGAAGACTAGAAGACAGTAGTGATAAGATTGAACACTGTCAGCGCAATACTTGTAGTGGCGGTCGTGTTCAACCTGAGGCCCCGCACAACCAATTGATCTGGGGCAACGCCTATTCGTCCCAGCCATGCTCCAGGATTACCCGCAAAGATCCGGGACCTGCTCTCATGTTGCTCTTCAACATTATCTCCACTCGAGATGGTTTGTACCTCCGGTTGATCGCTCTGTTCGTCTTCCAAGCTACCACGAGACAACACCAATGCTACGAGAGTTCCGATCGACTCCAATAGCTTGGCGATGGCTATGCTGACAATGCCCGTACAGATAATTAAACCCGAACTATAATTGAATACGTCCATCCACCTCGGTGGCGGCTTGATCGTCGCTTGCGACGTATTCCTCGAAGAAGGCTGTCTTGCAAGCCCAAGGACCACTATGAGCAAGTAAAAGCCTCGCATCGGTACTATATACAATGAACGAGAGAGGTCTAGGCGTCGTCGTGCGAGCAGATACGCAATCCATATTCCGACCTGCAATACCATAGAGGAGCTAACAACTATCGTGGCCCAGTCGCAAACATTTTCTAGATCGGAAGAAAGTTTGAAGGAGGCTTGTCGGCTTATATTGAACCATATCCAGAACTCGAATGGCGCCTGGCGTACTGAGGACGGGAAGACGTCAGTTGAGGTTGAATTGTCCTTCTCTTGGGGGTTCCCTTCCGGCTCCCATCCACAAATGGATACCAGGAGCTTGGTAATAGTGCCAAAGAAGAAGATGAATGCACATATTTGCGTCGCAGGTACGCCCTCGAGACTAAAGACTTTGATGGTCTGAGGCAGGACTGTAAATATCGTCAAGGCTGATCGGACGACCAGGCCAGTCGCCTTTGGTGAGTTGCGAAGAGTTCGTTGAGTAGAATTATGTGATGAGAAAAATCTGGAAATACCTCCCGCCAGTACAAATAAGTCGAAAATTGAATCGATGAGACAAACGGCGGGGATGGAGCGAACGATATCGACGTTGCCTCCGAAGATGTCATTGTCTCTTCTTCGATTGCCCGACGGTTGAGCTACTGCTGCTGATGCTAGAGAGGCAAGGATCCAGAATGCTGTTGGGCCGGTGACCTCTGCTGGTGATTGTGAGTTATTGGACATGTTTGCATGGCTTCGTAAAAGCAAGATGTCTAGAAACCGGTTTGTGTAAGATGACGCTGCAAAGATATTGATAACGATAAGCGAGGAGGATTGGGGCGTTGCTGTCAGCCTTGAATCTGCTGGGTGATGGCGGAGTCGTTGCGTTAGTGTTGTACGGGAGTAGAGGGGAAAATTACAGGCCAAGGCCATATATCAGTCTAATTTTGGTGCTGCTACCGCCGATAACAAGTATAGTCTAAGATAAGTCTAGTACTGTCTTAGCAGGTCGATCGCAAACCCCGCCACGATTCCAGACTCAAGTACCCTACCAGTAATGATGTGAAAACAAGCCAACGCAACTGTCATAGAATTGGTTAGATGATGTTGATCTGTCGTAAACGTATCACAGGTCCAACTGACAGCAACTCTAGTATTCGCTTCACATACAGATAGTACCCAGGCAATAAACTTCAATCACACTGAATTGACTTTTGAGATTAGGTTAAGCTTATCGCCACATCCTCGAGGGTAGAGACTTCATCGTCCAAAGCGACACTGAATTAACTCACAGCATATCTCAAATGAACAAGTGTACAAATGACTTGAATGTAACCTGCCAGTTGCGATCATCCACCGGTACTAATGAGAAACGCGTCGACTCGTGCCTTTTAATCTTAAGCTCATGAGGAGGTCACCTGTCTCGCCAGTAACTGGACAGACTCTACGCGCTGAAACAAACGCTCTAGCAAATCAAGTGACCATTGAGATTATCCTGAATGGAATTGGAAGGTCATGACTGGACCTCTAGTCCAGTTTTGGTGCATCATCCCCGGACCTCGGGCCAATCACTCTAACCAGCCCGGGCTAGTTTCCCTTCTCGGGAAATATTCCTCCCAGCAGGGTTGTAGGGCATGAAATTTGCGAGCGACTGATGTAACGCTCTGATAGGTCACGCTTCTTGATCATAGGGGGAGGGATGCGAAAATTCTTGTCATTGAGGGTTGAGTGGTGACTGTACTTTGGATCATGTCTTGGGATATGGAGAATAATTGTGTTGAGATACTTGGGCACGAGAAGTGTTCTTCTAGCAGATACACTTCTCTTTTGAAGTTGTTCCTTGGCTTGAAGTTTTCACTTCTTCTAAGTGACGCGATCACTAGATCGACACGCTAGTAGCATGACATGCGGGAGGCTGTCAATGCAGGTCCGTCGGCATTGAGCCATGAGATCTCGGGCCCTTGCATCCGTTAGCATGATGGATATGACCCATGGCACTGGAATAATAAGATAGGAACTATAGCTATCTACGTACCATATTCCATGCTCCCCCTATCCTATAAGATTGAACGGTTTCAGCGCCACCATTTTCATTCTAAGCACTCTACCTAGTAGTCTTATTAGAATATTACTTATTACTGCTTCTTACTACCTTCAAGATGTTTTTCAAGCAACCTCTTACAGCAGTCTTGTCCCTTTCCGCGACCGCTCTGGCTTGGGATGCCCCAGGCTACAGTGGTTTCACTCGCGTCTGGCAGGATCCTTTTACTGGTGCAGCCGGCACTCTCCCTGACACTAGCCGATGGAACATTATAACGGGATATCTTAACGTCAACGCGGAACTCGAAGTATATACATCATCCAGTCGCAACGTCCAACGAAGCGGCGGAGATACTCTCCAGCTTGTCCCATGGCGTGATGCTTCAGCTCTCAACGGCTGGACTTCCGGCCGTGTTGAGAGCAAGTATGTCTTCACCCCCCAAGCAGGCAAGATCACCAGAGCCGAAGCCAACCTGCGATTCGGCTCATGCTCTACCAACAACAAACAAGGAATCTGGCCTGCTTTCTGGATGCTCGGAAACATTCTCCGTAACGGCGGTAGCTGGCCATCTTGCGGCGAGCTTGATATCATGGAGACTGTCAACGGGCAGTTGACCGGATACGGAACTACGCACTGCGATGTCTACCCTGGCGGCATCTGCAACGAAGGTACCGGAATCGGTGGAACTATTGGTATCCCAAATCAAGACTGGCATACCTGGCGAATTGAGTTCAACCGTGCCAAGAGCAGCTGGCGAGATGAGACTATCACCTGGTTCATGGATGGACAGCAGTTCCACCAGATCTCGGGTGCGAGAATCAACAACGAGGGAGTCTGGAATGCCTTGTGCCATAGTCCCATGTATTTCATCCTCAATGTCGCTGTTGGCGGTACTTGGGTAAGTGAATCAGAGCCTTGAACATATTTTATGTATAAACTGACAGTACAATAGCCTGGCTACCCCAACGGCAACACCTGCGACGGCTATGGTAGCATGATGGAAGTCGGCTATGTAGCCCATTACACTAACTAAGCCTGGTTTGATAACCATCACCATCACTTCGACCTACTTTACTGACATATGTCGTTTCTGCTTTCATATCCATTCATGCATCGAGATATCCCATCATGTACCTTTTCTTTGTTTCGCATTTTCCGATGTATTAGATGACTGTATACCTACACATTCGTTTCCTGTGTATTACTATTAGATCTAGCATAGAATATAAATTGCATTCCTACAAGCTGACATCCATCTTGCGAGGGTACTTCTTTCCTTGATATGCGTGTGTGAAGGCTAAGTAAACCTCAGTTTCATAATCTACCCTTTGGCACAACGGATCGTATTACGAAGAATGCTTACTAGCGCTGGCGTGAATCCTTTCTGCTGAGAAGAAGATCTTGCCTGAAAAGGGAGGATCAAAATGACAGGGATTAGGCCAATAATAGTCTAAGTGGTGATACGATTTGCCCGCACTCCAGGCTTCTCGGCACTGACATGCAATCATGACAAGACACCTATTTTGTAATGTAGCTTAGTAATTTATTATAGGCTGAAGTTTCCTAATATGGAAGGATCAGATATCGAGAAGTAACTACGGATTACTTATCGAGCCTTCGAGCAGATAAATGAAGTATAAAGGAGCAGCAAATGTCCAAGACAGAAGAACATCAAAACCATCAAACTTCGAACCATTCCACTCCCATCTCCTTTAAGAGCCATTACAATCCCCAAAGGCTTCATAGTCATTTTCTCTCAGCTGCTATGTCTACGTCAAAGCCTGCAAAGATCAATATTGTTCTAGGAGTAGCAAACGTAGGCCAAATCCCCCTCTTTCAGTCTCCAGATTGCCCCATATCTGATCACTCACCAACAGGTCGGCGACGGCAATGCTGACCCCATGGTTCGCTTCCACGAACCAAGCGAGGTGATTGCCTTCCTCGAAGCCTTCACCAAGCGAGGGTATACTCAGCTTGACACTGCACGCATCTACTCGCCTCATGCACCCGGCACAAGTGAGCCCAAGATCGGAGACGTCCCTGAGAAGAACTTCATAATTGACACAAAGGTCAACTCTTTCCACGACGGGGCTCATTCCAAGGAGAACATCCTCAAAGACATCAATGATTCCCTGGCTGCCTTGAAAGTCCCGCAGATCAATATCGAGTACTTGCATCAGCCCGACCGGGCGACTGACCTCAAAGAAGCCTGTGAAGCCATGGACCAGGCTCATAAAGAAGGAAAGATCAAGTACTGGGGTATCAGTAAACATACGGCTCAAGAGGTCGAGACCATCGTCAAGATTTGTGAGGAAAACGACTTTGTCAAGCCCAGCGTTTACCAAGGAGAGTATAATCCGATTGCGAGATCCGCCGAAAAGGAACTTTTTCCAATCTTGCGCCGACATGGTATCGCCTTTTATGCTTTTAGTCCTGCTGGAGCTGGATTCTTTGCTGGTAACCATAAGAACGTTCGCCCTGGCGGCCGCTTTGATCAATCTGTACGTGCTCCTCATGCATCCATTCACGCATATACTAATATTTCTATTAGCTTTTCCTCGGAGGTCTGTACTCTGACCGCTATCTCAAGCCCTCCATCACGGAGGCCACGGAGAAGGCGCTGGCTGCAGCTGCTCGACACGGAATTAGCGGCCATGCCGCGGCCCTTCGGTGGACTGCGCACCATGGAGCCCTGAGCCAAAGACTTGGAGATGCCATCATTATTGGTGCCTCGAGCGTGGAGCAATTGAACTCTAATATTGATGCGATTGAGGATGGACCGCTACCTGATGATGTCGCTGACGCCCTTGGAGCTGTCTATGCGGAGATTGGGGATGTTCTTCCATATCATGTTTGAAGAAGATGGATTTTGTGATTAGTTATCAAATCCGTCGCTAGTCCCTATTAAGTAGGATCAATATTCAGCTGCATCACTCGGGCTGACAAATGCCAAAATACAAAGACGTATACAGATAACTCGTGAGATGTGCCGCAAAATCATCCACGGGAGAGAAAACTCTTTCAAATTGTCAAAATGAAGTTCATTCAAGTGGTGCATAATGCAGGCCCGGAGGCTCTCCGAGAGTCAAAACGCGAAGCTCGTTCGTACTCTGCCCAGGTGGCACACGCCAGAGCACGGAAGCTTCGCGGACTTGGAAAAGCAAAAAGGATTGCTATGGAAAATGATCCAAAAACAGAAAAGAAGCATGCTATGAAAGCCTTGAGCCCAAAAGACCAGCCTCTAACTGAGAGCTTGGCCCAATACCACCAAGCGACTCTACCTACAGAAGAGCTTCACATCCATCAACCGACGCTATCACCATACATCAACTTCCTTTCAAGTCTCACAGAAGATGAATGTTTCATGTTCGACCATTGTAAGTTATTATTCAATCTTCTGGACTCACCGGCTCCGAGGCTCCTTGTGTCTAGTCAATGGTAAGCTAATTGAACAACCAGATATCAAGATCGTGATGCCGTACCTAAGCGCCCACTGCCCAATAGCGAGGACCATACGTCAGTACCACGAATATGTTAGAAATAATTGGATTATCATATCTTCGCAAGATGCCGAATTCATCAGAGGGTTTCTCTTGGCCTCTTCTCGCCATTTGTCCGTCGTGGAATCAAAGGCCAAATTTGAAGAGATAGCTATTCGTTATAAATTGGAGCACCTGGCAAAACTGCGAAAGGACGTTGCGATGCAGCCAATGTCAATGAGTCCTCGCTCGGTTTCGAGCGCTTTGGTTCTGTCATTTGATGAAGTAAGTATTCCCATCCAAATCTGCATTCGACTCGTGTATGGAAGCAAATATTCATAGCCAGGTGTAGATGCTTCTCGGAAACATTCCAATGGCTTTACGACATATTCATGGGGCAGCGAGTATAGTCCAGGCAGCTGGTGGGCCACAGTCACTGGGCCTGAGCCAGTTTATATCATATACGCTGTTCACTTGTGTCCAGGAAGACCGAATTGGCGATTGGGCTTGGGTATCTAGGTATGATCAAGATTTCATGAAACCTAGGAAAAGTTGAAAGCAAAGGCACTGGACCAAATGGGATGATCTTCTGAGCTTAGACTGCCTCGACAGTTGACAACTTACTGACGTCGGGAACCTTCTCTCAGCCAGAGCGATTGAATCTACAAGAGAAGGCCACGCAGTACAAATTAGGCAAATTGATATGTCAGGGATATTATTGGTTCTTAAGCGGCGCTGCATATAACACAGCCCAAGGACCACATCATGAAAATCAGGCTGCAAAGGCGGGGTAATTATCACCAGGATTCAGACAGACATTTGCATCTATAATCCCTAATCTACCCATTTTTGAAGCGAAAAGACATCAAAATGCCTCGTTGGCATAAAGAAGTCTGCTCTAGTCCAAGAGTTGTTATTGCTGGTAATACTCCACGCTGTGAGGCATGCGATAGTGTCCCCGATATACAAAAGTACATCAATCAGCAAAGGTCTATTCCTTCTTTTACCCAACCTCCACCTGACCCTCCTCTGGGGCAGCTAAACCTCCGTTGGCCTGGCTCAATAAAGTACCAGCAGCAGCCTACAAAAGCTGTACAGCTTGATGGCGGCCCATCAGCAAATAAGCAAAGCTTAGATGTCATCGAACCGGGAGATAACAAAAAGGTCGTTCAGTCTCCCATCTATGCCTCGAAATTGGGAAAAGACGAGTTCAGACTACTCTTTCTGAGTCCCTCTACTGATCATTACGCCCCTGTACACGCCGAGCTAGTGGTACATCAGGATGGCCGATCCCCGCAATACGAGTCAACATCCTACACGTGGGCTGGAGAGAATGGTGACAGCTCCAAGTGCAGACCGTTGTACATTGGACGGTATTGGGATGTTGCTTTGCAGACCCAGAACTGCTGGTATATGCTGCAGTCATTACGGCTCCCGATAGGCACTCGTGCTGTCTGGGTTGACGCCATCTGCATCAATCAGAACGACATTGAGGAAAGGGATTCACAAGTGATGAAAATGTCACAAATGTACAAGAATTGTCATCGAGTCGTAGTTTACCTCGGCCCAGACATGGCAACATCCATTCCAGCAAGTTATCCAGCCCAGAAGGAATTAGTCCTGAGCAACTCTCAAGCATCAACTGGAATATCGCCTAACTCTTTCCGCGAGCTCCTTTGCAGGCGGTACTTTAGCCGCGTTTGGGTTGTACAAGAGCTCGTTTTGGCCAGAAGAGTAGCAATTCAGATCGGGGATTCAGAATACTGGATGGACTCTACTACGATGAGATTCATGAAAACCCATAACAACTGGGATTGGAACTCAACTAGTGCCCCATGGCTCCAAAATGTTGGTTTAGAGAGATTGCAGAAAACCAATATCTTTCATATCCTTCGAGCAACGCGCATGTGCCAGTGCGCCGATCCGCGTGATAGGGTCTTTGGAATCCTCTCCTTGCTTAACGATAACTCTTCCGACTCTGATCTCCGCGCAGACTATTCTTTATAATTCAGGGAGATGGTCATTGGGCTCTTTTCACATGCACTTCTAAAGTTGAGGGACTTGGATGTTGTGCGTTTTGCCGCTGGTTCACACAACTATTCTAAATTCCCCTCCTGGATGCCCGACCATGACCTCTCAGCTTACGGTGTTTCCTCCGAAGATGGAATGCAATTAGGAAACAGCCAGAGGATCGTTGGTGACGATGAAGTGCATCATGGAGGGACGCCGTGGTATCTTGGCACCACTATTGACTCGTCCACTGGTGCATTATCCATCAACCTCATACATTTGTTGGAGTTTCGAAGCTCGCCTCGAAAGACGGAAAATGTTGGATCTATGAGCGATTGGCATCAATTTATTATTCCAGGTCGCCATTCGAGTTTGGTCTTGTTGTCAAGCCTTCCGCTCGATGAGTTGATTATCCCCACCCGAGATCATCTTTTCTGCTTGAATGACGGCAATGGTTCCCCTATTTTCCTAGTAATGTCCCTTGAAACTGACAACCATACTTATAAGCTTATGGGGATCTGCCGACATGTGGCGTTCCAAGACCAAAGATTGTCTCTTCGCGAAAGTATACGACAGTGGAACGCTTACGAGACCCCTTACAGACCCTTGCTTGATAGGGATTGGGATCGGCATCATGTAAAAGACTCGAACGATCAGAATTTTCATCTGAGGAGCCTACAATATACTCTCCATACTCAACTTGAAGTTATAAACAGCGACGATACATCACTAGACTTATGGGCTGATGACCCATCAGGAATAAAGTCATTCAAACAAAAACTGGGGTTTGGTCACGGTTCGGATTGCACGCTCAAGCCCATTCTGATGAGTTTGATAAATGAGCATAACAAAGACGAGCCTGGGTTCCTCGCTTGTTTTAGCCATGGCATTCCTGCATCTTTAAGGCCCCAAGTTGAAGTTGACGAACTTGACGAATACATCGTGGTAACTGTCACAGAGGCTCCTGCACAAGTGGACTCGGGATGGTGGAACAGTCCTGTTATCGAATGGCGATTTGCCGGGCAGGCTTGCATTGAATCAAGTCCAAAAAATGATTGTAGTTGCCGAGAATCGTTCGACAATACACACATTATTTGGTATAAAGACAGGTTAGGACGGGGATGTGGAGACGTGTTTCCCCCAGTGGACCTGCAGTCTGAATATGCATCCCGAGAAGAAGATGGCGGAGGGAGTAGGAATGTTTCAGGTCACTGCATGCTCTGGCAGAAATATTCGGCTCATGACAATGCCCTCTCTTTCATGATGGTGGCAAATCACCGAATGATTTGGCCGCCTTAGGAGAAACGGATGTTGTGGCTAGAAGGCCTGGCGGTACAGATGCGAATTCCAAGGGAGCCCATAGAATCCCGGATAAAGCAGACGATGGCTTGGAAGACACTACACAGACTCAACCGTGTATCCCCTATCTCAAGCGAAGAGGATCTGGACACATTCTTGGCCAGTCCTAACGCTAATCCCGATTTCCGTTCAATTGCCGTTCCTGGATGGCCAACTGACTTGGTGGACGATTTCAACATCGATGGTAGTGTACAGCGAGCTTCTATCCAATAGAAATGTCCAGCACACATCTCTAATTTATTTCGTTCATAGCACCCCTAACTAGATACCGGTCCCGTATTACCTTTCGTGGGACAATCACTGCTGAGGGTTAACATAAGCAACAACACGAAGATCGCCTTTGCTTTGTATTGAACATCCGATGTATGTGTGAACGCCTAAACCACTCGACAGAACCTCCGCTCCGCTAGTGATTGTTAGCCACGACGCTTCTTAATTCAATGCAAGGTAACCCATTACTCACAAAATACTGTCCAAGCAATCTGCATATCGATTCGCCCAAACCGAATCGATCGCAACATCAGGCAGCTTGCTTGTCTGATCTGCCAAAAAGTCTCCCAAGGCGTCAAGGATCTGCGAGTCATTCTTCGCATAGTGCCGGACAGGTATGTAGATCTTGACCTTTGGTGCCGTGCTGTTCGTGCGGAACTCCACATTGTAGAGAATTCCAGCTGTGCGATGGTTGTTATGCGGTAGGGGAACATCATGAGACACTTCACTCGTTCCTAGTAACGCGTCCCAGAGATTCCTCAAATTTCTCATCCCAACATCAAAATCTTCGTCATGTATCCTGCCTCCCAGTGACATCATCTCTTTGACTGATCGAAAGTCTGTTCGCCTGTCTCTAAAGTAGATTTTCAGTCTTGACTTTTCGACGGGAACCAAGTCCAATGCCAACATGTCCATTTCAAGGCCCAAGTGCTGACGCTCATGAACGAATTTAGCAAAGCTAGCGAAGGAGCTGATGTTCTCTGGTCGACAACCCGGGGCAGTAGTGATGGCTTCCGCTACGACTTCAAGTGTTGACTTGCCCTTTGCGTGAGCAACAAGACCTGGGAAGAAATATGCCTTGTTCGTAATGATAAATTCTTTCAAGTCAAATGCCCAGAACAGAGTGCTACGGTGGCCCTCTGGCCTGTCGCCGCCCCATCGCCCATTGAAGTAGTTGTAAAAGTGATTGAACAAGGTCGTATCAGCATCAGGGAATTCTCCGATTACTCGATTTTTGAAGTCTGGAGCAGATCGGTCATTGTGTAAATCTGCAGCTGTTCCTGCCTCAAGACTGATGGGTTCGATAGAGTATCGTATTGTTGGCTGGCTATTACCGATATGGAAGTCCCAGCTAAGTTCCACTGGGCAGTTGTTGTCTGTCATGAAGCTCTTCCATATTGGCTCTCCCCGCACGGGTGACGACCCGAGAGATGGGGCGACAAGGTTTGAGAACTGGTCGAGGATGCGGGATTGACTTTTGGAGTCATACCCGGAACTGGCCAGGAATCTCTTTAACGTTGACCCAACAGTTTGGTTCCAGTACTGCTGATGGATGTCGACCGCCGTCCTAGCCTTGTTCTTGGTATGGTGGAGGGTCCCAGAGCCAAGTTCTGGGAGATTCACTTTTCCAGGCATCTTGGTAAGAGTAATGATGACATAAAGCTCTTAAAATTTGTGGAAGGTTTTATCAATGGCCAGGAGACACCCCTTTGGTTTCTATTGTCTGTGGTAAGGTTCGGGTTTTAAATGATGCTTCAGCCGCCAGGGCACAAAGGTAAAGGACACCAATAAACACATACGGGCTAAATACTCGTTGCCCCCAGGGTCAGGTTTACATTGTCATTATTGCCGCGATTCATCACGATTGGTCTCTTTCCAGGTTCCGCCATGATTAACCGATCGCGGCATGGTTCCCTTTCGGAACAAGCGTGATAAGCAGATCGGTGTCTCAGTAAGACAAACAGCTCATCCCGCATGACATAAAGTCCACACTTCTGCCGCCAAGAGACAATAATGAAAGAGAGTTGACGTTTTGGGATAGCTGCTCGGAGAAGTGCAATGAGCTAATTGTTTCATGGAGCATGGGCGATGAGTAAGGCTCATGCAGATGTTCGCTGCTCTAGCTTCTATTTGGTAATATTTGGCTGACGTAGAGATTCTAGCTCCGATTTATAACCGCTGACTACTCTAGATCTTCCTATCAATATACAGTGTTTTCTGTCTCCTCTTGCACTGCAGGCTTGTACTGCTTGGCAATGACATTCTCCTTAGGCTGGCGGTCCACTCCAAGCCACAGCAGATCCGGGCGGCTGTAATGACCCACGATGTCCAAAAATCCCCGAGTCGCTACAACCTTTGTCAAATCCAAGTCAGCATAGACAATGCCCTCAGTATCAGCCTTTCCGTCACCCAAAGGCTCCGTCAAGCGTCGCCCATCAGGTCCGATAACGCAACTATGGCCTCCACCAGGCTGGCGACAAGCTAGCCCATCCTGCGTCTTCAGAACTTCGATGCCCTTCTGCGTGCATATAGACGTGCAGTGAAGCACATAAGTGGTGCTCTCAATTGCATATGTCTGGGACAGGTTCTGGGACCCATCGGCCGTCATGCTCCACAGACCAGGATGGTTAACGCCCATACTGGGATCAATGGGTGGCCACATGGAAATATGGATCACTTCACCCTGCGAGATGCTGTGATACTTGAGAAGTGGTTGCGTGTGCTCCCAGCATGCGAAGCATCCCACCTTGATCTTACCATGTTCAGCCCCAAAGTCCACTTCCACGACATTGTTCAGATCAGCACCGGTACCATCACCAAAGACAGTGCGCTCCATGTGAGTGGGCTTGATCTTCCTTCGGTGCAGCAAGACCTCGCCCTGGGGTGAAATGATAGCCTGTGAGATGTACACGCTATGAGAGGGGCTCTTCTCAGAGAAGCCAAGAGCAACTGCGATGGAGTTTTCCTTGGCAGCTGCTTTAACCATATCCATAGCCTCAGACTCAATCGGCAGCGAATTATAGATGTATCTCGTCTGCAGCTCAAAGTCCACAGATCGAGCCCTACCGAGATTAGCCAAAACGCACAAGTCAAGTTTGTAAACGAAACATTAACATACCAGATCCACGCAGGATAACCGGGTAGCCAGCACTCAGAGAAGGCCACAAGCTTGGCCCCATTCTGTGCCGCCTCGGCAATAAGACCACATGCTTTTTTCACAGATGCAGCAAGGTCAAGGTAGACAGGCTCAGCCTGCGTGACAGCGACTCGGATGGGGGCGGACATTTTCGGAAATGCTGTGCCGAAAATAAGAAAAGAAGGATGGAGTGTATTGCATTGGGGAGATTTGAGTCTGAACGGGCCGACGAATAAATAGTATCGGCGATGCAGTGACCTTCCTTGTTAAGAGGATTGAAACAGCGTTGGTTCTATATTGAGCTCACGGGGAATGAGAACTGTTGGTCCGGTGCGTGTTGGTTTGTCGTTTCATGCGCGGGGGCTGTTCTCTCAACTGGGGGCTTAGCATCTGCAATGTCGACGGCATCAGCATGAGCCGGGCCACGCCTGTATCTGGGCAATATTCGGAACGGAGTATTTGATCTATCATACTGCCATGCAGCTATAACTTCTCAAAGTCCGGCCGTGAGTGTTGCAATCATGCCATGACCTGTTTTTCCCGAATCAACTGCCGACATAACTGAAGCATTATCAGTAGCACAAGGTACAGAACCAACAGACCCAGCATCTGAATCTAGAAATGCCCCTGACATCTGCAGCTCACATCCCCAGGGATCTCAATCCCACCAGAACAGTTACATCCCAGCGGGCCCTGATATAAAAAGCCTAAAAACATGTGATGCTCACCCCAGGATCCCTCCATCGAGAACCTTGGCGTATCCACCGACTCGCCAAAGCGTAAGACAAGATGTAACAATGGAAAAAGGAATCTTACAGTTCTGTGTCTTACGTCCGAGGCATAAAGATACAGGGAAGGCAAAAGATCTGACTGCTTGTAGTTAATTGTCGGGCTATGAATTGTTTTATCTTCCGTCGGGGGCGAATTATAGGGAGAAAGCTTAATTGAAAACATGCCGCGGGGTTTCGATTCCTGCTTCTTTAAGATGCAAAAAGAAATTCTAAAGGATCACGTCGCCATTCCTTCATTTACATGCCTTGATATGCTTATTTGTTAGCCCGTTCAGCTGCTTGCAGTTGTCATTTTCTTTTTTGTTAAACGTTTATTTTCTTCCGTTCGTTACAATGACTGCGTTAGCTGGTCAAATCGCCGAGATATGGATCCTCTACGTTATCGGCACCGCCATGATCGGGGCGCGCATCTTTTGTCGCACGAAAATGGTTGGGTATAGGAACTACGATTGGGACGATTACCTCGTTATTGCAGTCGCTGTGAGTCTCCATTCCATGACTGACGTGTTCGATCGTTAACGGTTCGTGGTAGGGAATGTGGACTGCTGCACCCGTAATTGGCCAAGTCTTTGTCCAAGGCGCCGAGGGCCGCCATACCTCCGATTTGACCTTCGAGGAGAGGAAGAACATGAGTGAGGAGGATAGTAAGAAGTGGGCGTATGGTTCGCAGATGTTTCTGCTTGGATTGACTGGATATGTGGTTATTCTGTGGACGCTCAAGTTCAACATGCTGTGCTTTTACAGTCGTGTTGTGAGGGGTCTTTGGACGGAGAGGTTCGTGAAGCCGTTGATGGTGGTGGTGATATTGTCAGTGGTGGTCATCATCATTACGCTGGCCGCGACGTGTCGACCATTCCATCACCTTTGGCAAGTTTGGCCAGATCCAGGACGTTAGTATCGAGGCACCAGATTTGTCGGACGGCTTGCTGACTTCGATAGGCCAATGCGTTCCCCAGAATCTCACCTTCTTTGTCGTCATCTTGGTCTTCAATTTGGTCACGGATATCTGCATAATGCTTATACCAATTCCCGTACGATGACTACTACCCTCTCTCCGATGTCTATTAACAGAGTATAGGTCTTGGTGGGCATTCAAACCAATCGCCTCAAGAAATTTGGTCTCTTTCTTCTCTTCAGCCTGGGCTTCTTCTGCATGTTCGCCGCCATCCTCCGCTTTGTTCTCATCTTCAACGTAAGTCCGCGAACCTCACTCTTACGATAACAAACACTAACACGAGTCAGTTGAACCAAAAAGGCGTCTCAGCTCTATGGTCAATGCGCGAAGACTGTGTCGGCATCTTCGTCGGCCAAGCCCCGATGGTTACACCTCTCCTCAAGCGCCGCTTCTGGGTCATGGCAGGCTACGCGACCGACAAGACGGGCAACTCTCAGACACCGCACTACAACGGCAGTCGACTCGAGAGCCATGAGCTTCGGTCTGGGCGCGCGAATAACAGCAAGGTGCATGACCCTTACTCAATAACCAACGTGGTCTCTCGGTCCGAGAGCCAAGAGGAGATCGTACAGAAGGACCTGCCTTCTTTACCGGAACAGCCGCGTCAGTTTCGGAGTGGTATTAGGGTGGAGCAGCGTATCGATGTTGAGGCAGTTCAGGGGACATATTCGCCGCCGCGAGATCCTCGATGGTAGTCTACGTCGGTTGAGTTATTTTTTTAGATCTAAAAATGCACCGTAACTGTCTTCAATCTTGCTTGTCGCATCATGAGTCGAGTCAGTTAAACGGATACACCCGAGACTACGATTAGCCCCCGCGAACTAAAGAGATCGTTGTCTCCGGGGAGACTTCCTAATGATCCTTCCTGAACCGTGCCCCTTTTACGTGATACCCAAACTGGGGTCAAGATTCCTTCAGTGCCAGGGCAAGGATAGATCCTCCAATGGAAAATCTCTGCAAGTCCCATGTGCTGTCATCGGATACCGCGGCCCGCCGAAAGCGTTTCCACGCGAGTAATGAGCGACAGGGTATCGCAGCCTGACGTACGATTCTGTGCCAGCCAAGAAATACGATTGACCCGAGTAAGAAGGTGGAAACTCTTCCCGTCTGATTTCTCAATTGACAAAAGCAAACAAGGTTAAACATCGGCGACATGTGCATGGCCGGCGAAACAGTTTCCTGTTCTGCTTAAATTGCTGGGTCAAGGTACCTTTGCATGATGCAGCAGAAAAAGCAACCAAATCTCGTTTCATTGACGCGCGTTGAAAAAGCGATAAACGACTCATCGTACGAAAATTAGCCCATGGGCAGTTCCGGTGTGGACTTTGCGTTATAATTGTGTATGATATGCAGCGTAAAAGTGTTTGTCAGCTGCAAAGTGCTTAGTGATGTTAGACAATACTTTCTAGCGGCTTTAGTGGCGGAAGATGGATACTAATCGGGCGTTTAGCAGTCTCGGAGATTTCACTGATCGACGCATGCCAAGATCCGTAGGGTAAGTAGCATATTTTGCGTGGTGAATACATGCCATTAACGACAAGTCTCGCCTGTAAAATACATTCTGCTCTCACAAATTAGTTGGATGCCACAGTGAGTTACTAACTGCCCCAGAATTAACAGTGATAAGAGGAGACCGAATGATGACTCATTTGCTTCACTTCGCGGGTTATAAGAAACTTGAAACGTCTGCCAAGAGGACCTTGGAACATAGCCCATGATTCATCGTTGATACATTTCAAGTCTAAACAGTCCCGAAGACTTCCACGATAGAAATCCCTCCAGTTTCTTGTATTGGTTGAAGTTTCAGTCAGAGATATGGATCCACCCAAGCAAGAGGCGATTTTCAACGAGCGCTTTGTCAAGATCATTTGCGTTGGCGCTGGCGTTTCTGGACTTTGCTTGGCCTACAAGATGAGGAGATCTTTTCAGAACTACTCATTAACTGTACGTATAAGATATCCAAGCAAGAATCGTACTCATATGATAAGATCTACGAGAAGAATCCAGAAGTGGGAGGGACTTGGTATGAGAATACTTATCCCGGCTGCGCCTGCGATGTCCCCTCACACAATTACACATATTCCTTCGAACCAAAGGCAGATTTCTCCTCAGTCCTCGCCAGCTCAGACGAGATCAAGGAGTATTTTGAGGGGTTTGCTGCCAAGTATGATCTGCTCAAGCATATCAAGACTGAGCACCAAGTCATCGAGACTTCTTGGGACCAACCAAAAGGCCAGTGGAACGTTAGAGTTACTGATCTAAAGTCCGATACGACAACTAATGACTGGTGTCATATTCTGATTCATGCTACCGGATATTTGAACAAGCCAGCGTGGCCATCTGTGCCAGGACTCGAGAAGTTCAAGGGCCCCAAACTTCACAGTGCCAAGTGGGATAGCAGTGTATCTCTTGATGGCAAAGATATTCTGTTGATAGGGTCCGGCGCATCGAGTGTCCAGATTTTACCCACGATCCAACCACGCGTCAAGTCCGTCAAGGTCTTTGTTCGAACACCTCGATGGACTCTACCCTCTGTCAACTCAAAGAAGGGCAAATTCTCTCCGGAAGAGATTGAGAAATTCGTCAGTGATCCAGAGTCAGTCATGAAGCTACGGCTGGAAAATGAAAGGACATTAAACAGCTTCTTCAGTAAGTCGCGCTGGTCACGAGAGGTTCTTTTCTAACCGAATGTCAGCTATGTATATGAAAGGAACTGTCCTCCAGCAGCAAGCGCGTGAGCATTTGGAGAGTCAGATGAAGAAGGTAGTCATTGATGAGGAAGTTCAAAAGAAGCTTGTTCCCGACTTCCCGGTTGGATGCAAACGCATTTTACCTTCTGGGGATCAGTTTCTCTACGTAAGTCAAGTGGTAGGTTGATGAAGCCCAAGTCTGATAAAGTCGCAGGCAATTAAGAAAGACAATGTCCAAGCGATCTACTCCGGTGTCAAAGAGATCACTGAAACAGGCTGTATAAGCGACGATGGACAACATTATGAAGGCGATGTCATCATTGCAGCCACTGGCTTCGACACATCGTTCATCCCTCGGTATCCCATCCATTTCAAAGGACACAACCTCCAGGAAGATTGGAGCACCTCTATAACAGGCTACATGGGAGTAGGCATCTCCGAGTGCCCCAACTCATTCACCCTCGCAGGCCCATGGTCACCGATCTCCAACGGCCCCGTCATCGCGCCCATAGAAGCTCAAGCGGACTTTGTCTGCGCTTTTATCGACAAGTACCAAACTGAACCCGGAATGCATAGCACGAGTCTGAAGGCAGCAGCATGCTACGACTTCAAGACCTACATGGCGCAGGTCACTCAGAAGATGGTCTGGTCTGATAACTGCCGACACTCACATAACATCAAGCCGAACTGGGGTCAGTCTTCGATCACATGGCCGGGATCTACACTGCACTACTTGGAGGCTATGCGAGAACCTAGATTTGAGGACTATGACTTTGAGTATAGCGGGAACAGATTTCAGTGGCTAGGTAATGGACTTTCTCAGACCGAGTGGGATCCTACGGCTGATTTGGCATACTACATAAGGGATGAGGATGATGGGAGGCATTTGAGTAAAGGCGCAAGGACAAGAGTCATTTCGAAGAGTGGAAGCCAGGCACCGAGAGAACTCCATCGCCAAGCTAAGCTTGCCGCCAAGAGCTAGATTCAAGTGTCAAGGCAGTCTACCTCAAACCAGTGTACTGTCACAAGTTTCACGCTATAGTTAAATTAACGAAACTTGCAATCTAAATAAACTGTGTTTCACGCCGATATGGCCAGTGGCCAGAATATTGTTGACTTGGCAGGTGGTTGTACACAGCAATGACTTGTGATAGAACAGCAAGTAGTCAGAAGATACCCAAGAAGCCAGAGAGGACCAGAGAGGACATTCCATGTCCATACAAGGCTGATTGGCTGACCATTCGCTTGGGTAGCTCTTAAGAAAGCCACATCGATGAGTTGATTTTGAGCCAGTTGTGACAGGGCGGGACGATTGCCAAGCCGCGCTATTGTTTCGCTTCCTATTCACTTGAACGCCATCTTTCAGTAGTCAAGCATATACGAAGGAGGATTATACAGTTAACTCAACGACCCCTTTGGATCTGACATCTCATAAAACGGGGTTATCATTATCTCCCTTGGTAACGTGTCACGTCAGAGCTCCGTGATACGGCGGCGATAAACGGCGAAGAAAATCACCTTTCTTGAAAGAGCACGATAACCAGGTATCAAATTAATGCGCACCTAAAGAGGGTTGAAGAGTGATTGTATCGTGAAATCCTTGACCGATCTCTGGTCATAATCCAGGGTGGTTCAGCAGAGTCATGCCTCTACCCAACTCAAATCTCACGTCCCAGGACTGCCAACACGGTCGGAAAGCCACTAGGGGCACTAGCAACGACGATCTGCCCATCATCGCTATGCACGGTACACCTGTCAGTTGCCATTCCCAATATCTTCTCTTTACCCGAGCCGACCAAAGCGTCAGACAGCTGACTCTTCTTGCCGCCCGCACATGCCATTCGTATCTCCACTTTATATCCCAACAAGATTCTGGTGATCTTCATGAGTTTACCGGAACTTCCTTCATTACCTACAGCCGAGCCCAGCTGAGATCGAGCAGCGGCGCTAACGTCCCTGTCGTAAACCAACACGATTAGTGAGTTCAATGTGAAGGTGTTGAGAATGAGAACTCACCAAAAACCCCGATCTACATCAAACGCTTGCATGCCTCCAGCCTTGAGTGAGAGTGTTACGTCCGAGTTGGTAGCATCAACCACTTTGGTGTCGTAGAGAGGATCATGATCGAGGTTGGGGAACCCAAGGCTTGCCCAAGAAGCCGTCTTAGCATTGGCAAGATCGAGTTCTAACTCAACCTCTTCACGGCCGCCGTCTTGGGCACCAACCCAGGAATCAACTCTCCGGTCGATGCCGTTGATTGAGTAGAGTGGTCGATAATAGACCTGGTCAGTAGGAACCACTAGAGGAGTCTGTGCCCGTCCTATGGCAGATGGGATGTCCATATTAGAGCATGGCATGTTGCTCCTATCACCGCGCCATACACGGTTAGTAGCCGCAAGACATATCATATGAAACAGCTTCAGAAAGTGTCTGCTTACCCAAGTCTGAGCGTTGAGGTATCCCGTGCCAGATCAAAAGCAGCCAAGACTAATCCAACACTGCTTGATGTTTTAGTGGCGGCAAGGGCGCATTCCGATTCGAGCCGTCTCTGCTCGCTCTTGGCCCATGCATAATAAATGCCAAACTTCTCATCCCACGCTTCAAAGTTGGTAAGCTCAGATCCGGCCACAGCTGCAAACTTCTGGTATAGACCAAGGTCCCGCAGATATGCCTGTGCACTTCTGTCCTGCGCCTGCTCAACTTCGGAGCGGAGCTTTGAGATTGAACCGCTAACATCGGATGAAGTCATGGCCTATGTGGTCGTCAGTCTATTCCTCCATACTCAGCATGAATTCTTGAGGAAGACTCACATCGTCGTGAACAGCTTGAAGATACCTGGCTCCAGTTAGCTGCATGATATCTCATGGATACAAATTAAAGGCGGGACACATACTTGCGACGGGAATCGAAGTAGCTTTCTCCATCGGATGTGTAGAACGGAGATCCGGTATGTTGCAAACAGTCGGTTCGGCGGAATATTTGATCGTTCGTGATCTGTTGAGGAGCAAACTCTCCTGCAGGAATGTCAAAGAGGCCCGGAGAGGCGACGAAAATTGCTTTGGTAGAGTTGTCCAGGTCATCTTGAGTAGTCATATGGGCTTGCAATGCAATCGCATAAGCCTTCCAAACAAGTTTTGATCCGCCATTTGCCAAGAGAGTGAAGTTCCGCTTGCTAGCGGCTAGGGTTGCAGTGAGCCGCATGGTGTGCGTTGACAGACACCGACTGTAGGCTGCTGCGCAGAGTCGGATTCAGTTGATCAAGGTTTAAGTTTGGGGGAACTCCTAAACGTGAATACTGAGCGAGGGGCATTAGTTATGTATTAATCATACGAGAAATTAAATATAATCTTCTCTTTTGAAATTGGCAAAGGCGACCCGAGAAGACTATGGGGAAGCTGACTATAGCCCTCCATCAGGATGAGGTCTACTCATGTTTCGTGGGGCTCCCAATATTGTCTCGAATTGCACTAAGTGTGAAATAGAGATCACACTCAGTGAGCAACGTCTATGTTGGCTTGTATCTCATGACACCAATTATGTGATCTATCTGAGAAGCTACGTGCCGTGTGTGATAAGTGGCGGCTCGGTTACTATTGTCGCGGAGAGTGGCTGGCTGTGGCCACTTGTGGCTGTCATCTATCATTTCATCAGTAAGGGTTCCAAATACGGGATTATGCTGGACTTTGACCTGAACATCTTTGATAGTCGATGCGAAGGAGAGTCTCATCGCACCACGGGTTATCGCCAGCAAATCGATTCAGCATTGCTGGCAAACATCCGCTTTGATCCGTAAGTTTACCGCATAGGATGATTTAAATCATTACGAAACCATAGCAGAAGCAACATGCTCACTACAGACTCTGTCTTAAGTCTCCCTTAGTTGTTTGATACATCCGAACTAAGCCAGACTGCCAATTAGCGAGATCCCGGAAAGGAGCACTTCCGAGGAGCCAAGTGATTTGAACCTGAGTAATATTCCAGTTTGGACACCTCAGCTAGCCATGGAGTGTCTAGTCTAAAGTTTCCCCGCCGTTGTGACCTCGCCACTGGCAGCCAACGTACATCGTTCTCAGTTGTGCCGTCTATCTTGTGACACGTACGTTACGGCAACTGGCAGCACGCTAGCATCCCTCAAGAAAGGTGCGTACGTCTGTGGCTGCAATATTCGTTTCTTGGCGAGACTTTTGCCATAGCAAACTCAACATGTAGGTCGCATAGCTTATCCATCTGACTGTTTTCGAGGCAGCTGACAGCATTCGCCAAGCTGGGGACTGTGTGCCGCGAGCATCCTTAGCTTACATAGAGATACACGTTGCAATAGTCCCAACGAAGAGTCTTCCTTGTATAAAGATCAATGGTCTCGCCCAGCTTTTACTCTCATTCAACAGTTAACCAAACACTACAAGAACACCAAACACAAACACAATTTTACTCCCCCTTCTTATCCCAATTACAAGTCTCTACTCGCAACATGTCTGAAGAGAACCAGCTCTTTTGGAAGGCCTACGCCTCGACCGTCAAGAACATCATGGTCGGCGGCCCGGTCAGTGACAATACCAGAGTCTACATCGCTGCCGCCAACACGGCTGGCATCTCCGGTGGTAAGGACATTCCCGCTGTCTGCACTAACTGGGGAATCTACCAGTATGCGGACTTTCTGTTGGATCCCACCAACCCCAACTTTGTCGCCAGCAAAGTCTCGCGCTACTCTGAAGCGCTGAACATGACCCTGCAGACCCTCACTCCGGTAAGTTTTCTCCTCAACTCCAATTCACTCCTCATTGACTAATGGTGATTGTTACAGGGCGCTGGTGGTGATAACTCCCCCGATGCCTGGGACAGACTTAACAAGGCTAAGGAGAGATTGGCTATCCTTCGCTCTGAGCTGGATGACGCAAAGAAGCAGGCTATGCAGGACTTTAAGGACGATGACAACCCCGACAAGCCCAAGTCATTCGCTCAGTGGGCTCCATTGAACGCCAATGCCTACCTGGTTGCCTTCCAAAACTGGCACGTACCCTTGCAACATTGAGAGTCACAAAGAACTCTTTACTGACATCCATACCACAGGGAGGCTGCCACGAATGAAGTTCAAATGAAGACCAATGCCATTGGTGGCGCTGGCTCTGCTCTTCTTGCCGAAGCTATGAAGAGTGCCGCTAACGGATCCAACACTCTCACTGAAATCAACGGGTACGTGTCCACACTGTTGAGCTCCTAGTACCTCGGATTGACTAACAGATCCCTATCAGATTCAACATGAAGGCCAGCATTCAGTCAGTTACTTACGATGCTGCTGGAAGACCCATCCTTCCTCACCCGCTCGAGACCCAATATGTGCCTCAGTACTCCATCTCGGGCTACGCTGCCATGCTCGATGGCTGGGTTGGCTTCTCGAACAAGAAGCCGGATGAGTTCGGTATTAGTCTCTCTACTGGCCAGCAGTCTTCCTTCAAGGACATCGGCTTTACTGAAGCTCAGGGTAATGCCTCCTTCAGCCGCTTCCCCGTCTTTGACTTCTATGCCAGTGGAGGTGGACGTGTTGAGCACTCCAACTTCAACATGAGCTCTAACGCAAAGGACGTCAAGGTCTCTCTCAAGATCCAACACTACAAGACCGTTCCATTTGAGCCTGGTTCTTGGTAAGTTCAAGCCTACTTCTTCACCGACATTATCTAACTTCATACACAGGGACGTTGACGTCAACAGTCTCATTGCTAAGCTTGGTGCTAAGCCGCCCGCCATGTTTCAAAAGGTCCGCCCTACGCAGATGCTCGTTGCCCAGGGCGTCAGCATGGAGATCAGCTTCAGTGGTGATGCGAAGACGGCTTTTGACCAGGACTACAAGAAGACGGTCCAAGGTGGTGGTGGAATCAGTATTTTCGGGTTCCGCATCGGTGCTTCTGGCTCCTCGTCTGAGGAGAACGAGTCCCACGGTAACAATTGGGATGCGAGCTCCGGTGTCCTCACCATCAACGCTGAGAACTCTCGTGCTTCCGCCAATGTTCTGGCTGTCATGGGTGAGATTGTCAGCGCTTAGAGTTCCTGTTGTTTCTGGAAGTTGAAATTGATAAGGAACTACATTGCTTTCACGTCGATCTGTTGGAGATTCAAAGTTAGTACGAGCTCGTTTGGTAGTTTAGCTCCGGTCAGTCATTTCCGTCTGTGCAGCCGTATTCGGTAGCTTAACTCAATCCACTCCTTCTCACCTCGGTAGCCAATTTGACTGTATTACGCGAGCATTCTTCCATAGATCTTAGTTACTCATAGATTCAAGGAGAGTCTTTGTTGTTGAAGTTACGGCATGTCTCCAGCCTGGGCTGCCTCAAAGGATAACCATGAACTACAAAGTCACTATGCCAGTTGTGAGGCGCTAAGTTCTATTCGGGCCCGTAAAATGAAGTCAAGATGAAAACCTTATGACATATATCTAAGGCTATAACTCCGGCGCTGCACGATCCTCACTTCCGGACCACAATTCCTGCCATGCCAGTACATGCCAGTCGGTGGAACGAATGCGACTCACATGTTGATACAGGAGAAACATGGCTACCGTGGTATAGAGACTAAAAGGCTACTCATACGTAAAAAAGAATCACTTGTCTCAGTTAAACCCAATAGGTAACAGTGGCGGAATTGATTCAATTTTTGCAAGTCATCAAAACCTCGAGTACGTACCGACAATGAGTCAGCCACCGCGATAACAAATCTGCTTTGAGTGGCTGCACCAAAACCTTCCTCTTACACCGCATTCACAGCTTGATCAACATCGCACAGGAGCCACGTGTCAAGACCAAAAACCCAAGCAACAACAAGCACGATGAAGACGCTCGGTTTGATCGGCGGCATGAGCTGGGAGTCGACTACAACTTACTACCAAGAGATCAATCGTCGCGTCCGCGAAATCCAAGGCGGCCTTCACTCTGCCCAGTGCATCGTGTTTTCCTTCGACTTTGCCAACATCGAGGCCCTTCAGCACGCGGGCAAATGGGACGAAGCTGGCGAGATGCTCAATGACGCGGCGACCAAGCTGAAGCTCGCTGGTGCTGATGCTCTGGTCCTCTGCACCAACACAATGCACTTCGTTTCTCACGGCATCGAACCCGCCTCGCAACTACCTCTCATACACATCGTCGATCCTACTGCCGAGGCCATCATCAAAGCAGGCTACAAGTCCGTCGGCCTCCTCGGAACGCGCTTCACCATGGAGAAAGACTTTTACAAGCAGCGCCTGGTCGAGAAATTCGGGCTCAGGGTCATTGTCCCGGGTGATAGCGACAGAGATACGGTGCACAATGTCATTTACCAGGAGCTCTGCAACGGGATCATTCAAGAGAACTCTCGCGAGGACTATCACGCTGTCATCCGCAGACTCAAGGCTGAGGGTGCTGAGTGTTTGATCATGGGGTGTACTGAGATTGGTCTATTGGTTGATGAGGCGGGAAGTGAGCTGCCGGTATTTGACACTGCGAAGCTTCACGCTATCGCCGCCGCTGACTGGGCAATGAAAGAGTGATGCTTTTTGGGTAGCATCTACACCAAGCAATCGCCATAGAAACACCACTGGGATCTTAGAAGTTATGATGAATTGAAGCATGGAATGTTTTTAGAATACGTGTCATCTACCTAATTGGCAGCGCCTTGAACCCTTTCGCCCGCCCATGACACTGCATCTTTGCCGGTAGTGCTACAAGCAAATCGTCTGTCGCAAAAACAGACTGATGAATTGGCTGTGCAATCTCCTCTCCATTGACTAGCACTTTGGTGATGAAAGATGCCTCCTCCGTAATCAGACACGGCACCTGCGTAATATGCTTGAAATGTCCAAGATCAACACCAGTCTGAAGCTGCCTCAAAATATGCACCGCCTTGTTCCGCAGCATGTCTACCACAGCGCAGAAGTCGACAAAATAAACTGGTCCAAATCCGCTGTCTCGGCAGTACTCTCGCAGGTTATCTTCGGCTGCCGCAAGATTTGAGAGTCCGTAGATAGAGACGAACTTGAGAAACGTCAGGGTAGTAATCCGATTATTACCATCTATGATGACTTGCCTAGAATCGTGGCTTGAACAAACAGGATGGACATTTGCTACGGCGATCGGGGCAATACGGATCTCGTCCCTCGACCGACAATTGATGATATCGCCGATCATCCCAATGACAATTTCTGGGCAAGAGAACTCAGATCGTGCCATATCAGAAATGCCAACGTATGAGTATACAAGTTGTTGATCCTCCGAAAAATGAACAAAGCTTGCATTCTTGACGAGAGGTTGAGAGAGGAATGAAGACTCGGCTGCCAATTGCGCTGCGACATCTTCGCGTTTAGTCAGGCTCGACTTTTCCAGCTCCTTCGTGAGGCTGGTGAGCAGTTTTAGGAAGATATCTCTCTGGAACTCAAAGATGTTGCGCAGTCCACAAACAGGATCCCTCAAAAATGCATGGATCTGCAAGAACGATGCAATTCGACCTGAAGACCATCGTCCCTTGGTCGTGAAGTCTGTCAGAGCACGGCCCCATAACTTCAGACTGAGGTTCTCTTCGTGGGTTTCCGTCTCGTAGGGCACAACTCGACTAACAAACTCGCTGCGATCGATTGTGAAGTTGGCAGGCGCTCTAGGAGAGTTCATCTCAAAAATGACTGCTCGACTGAGCACCTGAGACTGGTTTTTGAGCGTGTTCATTCGCAAAGGCCAATTCTCAATTACGTCTTCAGTCTCAAGCAGCTGCGATACACAGGAAGCCATTATTTGTGGAATTCTGCGCCGCGGAATGCAAGATAGCATGTAGGCCATTTTGGAAGTCTCCAGGTTCGCATGCTTCTGGGTCTCACTGGTCAAGGTGAGTGCCGCCTCACAAGCTCTAGCGGTGGGAAACAAGGAAACAGGATCGAAAGAGAATGTGCCATGTAAGATCCTCAGTAATCTAGATTCAGCGAGATTACAGAGCATGGCCAGGGTTGGGTTCTCAATGTCTTGGTACGGCGGTCTAGGCACACCATGTCCCGCACTCAAGCTCTTGGTTCCAGAACTGGAGCATCCGCATGCTAAGTGACCCTCTGAGGAGGAAGAGTATGCAGAGTCGTCACTCTGTCTCCTTGTGTAAGGAGGTGTCGGAGGTTCAATGGAACCAACAGAGGCAAGCGAGAATGACGTTCGCTCTTTGCGCAGCACGATGCGTAAACAGTCGGCTAGCTTGAGGTACTGATCCAACGTATTGTAAGCCTGCACCGACAAACGGATCACCCGCTTAGGGTATGCAGGCCAAGAGTAAACAGGAATGACAATACCATGTTCTTTCCAGAGAGCTTGCTGAATCGGAAGCATTCCCTCCTGCTCAGGCCCTGGAGAGTCTGGCAGCGGTATAGTGGCCATAGCAGCGATCATGTTATCTGGGCACGGAATATCTACGCCGATAGCTTTGCAGACGATCCTGCGGGCTAACACTGCGAGGTCATGGTTGCGACTCGTCAAGTCGGTATACCCGCATGGCATCACCGTGTTGAGATGGTCGATAGCAGAGGGAAGAGAGAGCATTGCTGAGGGGCAGTAGGTCCCCATCCATCCGAAACTATGCTCAAGCACAGAGTGCTTCGATTTGCCAACGACATACGGCGACCTGGCAATCACCAGCGGCTTGATGATATGAGCGCGATCTCGCCGGACGTGGAGGAAGCCAATTCCTCGTGGCGCACACATCCATTTGTGACAGTTAGCGACGTAGTATGCGGCGTTGATATCCTCGAGGTCCAATTGAATCATGCCAGGCGCATGTGCTCCGTCGACCAAGGTGTCAATACCGCGGGACTCAAGCTCCTTGACGATTTGTTTTGCTGGAAGTACGAGACCAGTTCGACTTGGGATGTGGTCGATGACTGCAAAACGCGTGCGAGGCGTGACGCCAGCAAGGATGCGCTCAATCACATCTTCGGGGCCTGTGACTAGTAGAGGCACATCGACGACAACGATATGAGCGCCGTCCCTCTTGGCAACATGGTCAAGAACCATGCGCACAGAGCTGTAAGCGACGTTCGTAGTCAATATCTCATCATCTGGGTCGAATTGTAGACTCTGAATGACAACGTTCATGGCGTGAGTTGCGCCGGGAAGCAGAAAGATATCTCGATATTCGACGTGTAGGAAGTCGGCCAGGGAGCGTCTGCTGGCCTCCAAGCCAGAAACGTATGATCTTTCGAAGAACTCATGGGGATTTTCTTCAATGCGTTGCCGAATGTTTTTCTGCTTCTCGACGACGGATTTTGGACATGATCCAAAGGCACCATTGTCTAGGTAGATGATGTCCTTCTGGATCTGCCACTCTCCGAAACTTTGGAGGTGGGCCGCCATAGCTTCCGAAAGAGGTTCTTCACCGTGTTCGGTCATGGTAAAAGGGGATTTTGTCTGATAATTCATGAATGACTCTGGCAGGCTAGATTCAGAGATAGATGATTCGGGTTTCTTTAACTAGTATAAGGATATTGCTCAAGGTCGTAACCACAATGGTACCCTTCTTTCTCTCATTCATCGCCCCCATTATTCTGATCGCAATGACGTGGTTCAAAGGGACTTCAGGACAGAAAAAGCAAATGTTGATTTGCCCACCATAGCAAAGTCTTACCGCCTCCATAGGTGCATGAAGCAGAGCGCATGTCTCTCATGTTTCTCATGACTAACTCCGCCACTTACCGTGATGCAGTTTCCAATTTCGCTCAATATCAAGACTAAGACTTGTCTGGTAGTTGATTCGCGTCCAAATGAGTCAAGACTTCGACGATCATTGACGTTTACTCTTTGCTAGGTACTGCCGCTAGGGGAGGGAAGAAAACCCAGGGCCTTGATCCTAAGTGACAAAAGTACTGTGGTAACTTTGTCTAATTTAGGATAAGTTTAGTATAGACTTAGAAGATCCTTTGGTGAGTTTATTTTGATACCTCATTTTATTGTTTGCTGTTTTCTTGCCCCCTGAGGTGCCGGTCCATCGGTTCTATCCCTTCCGGCGTGCAGCTGCGGTCAGATCCCAGATGGTATGCGAAAGCAAAGAGGAGGTGGTGAGACTGTTCCTTGGAGAAACCTGCATATACACACCTTGCATGCCAAACTTGTCAAAAACTGATTGGCCCAATGGGGAGGATAAGACACCGACATCCGGCTCAGATTCCCGATTGCCAGCAGCTGAGACACTTACCGCCACACGGGGAGGCGGGTGACGCCGCTAGTGACTGTCTCACTGGGGGAAGACAAGGGTACAGTCCCGGGACCGTCTGCAGTGGTATTGTTGAGGCCGATGGCCCGAAGTGAGACAATGTTGTCCCAGACCGTCGGCCAATAGTTGGGCAATTATTCAAGCATCTGGTGATAGCTCATCTCAACAGGTCTATGCGGAAAAGCAACCAGCGCCCGACAAGGACGTGATCGCTATGGCCCTGCTCATAGGGCTGGCTGAGCTGAGACACGGAAACACAATGTTTCAATAACCTCCTTAGGCCATACTGATAAGCACCGCCTAATCCAAAACGACTGGATATAGCAAGGGGTGCTTTGATGCCGTGTCTAGTGATGACACATGTTCCCTGCCCTTCGGAGGCTGGGAACTTTGCCGCGAATACACCATTCCAATATCAAATCCAGGGATCTTGGGAGTTGTGCCAGACGATAATTTCTTTATCGCATTGAATCAAGGTTCAGGGGTTGTTTAGACAGGACAAGGGAGGGTCGATCGGTGGCCAAACACTCACTGACTGTCTGACCTCAGAGTTATCGGTCTTGTACCGATACGTGTTGTAGCTGCTGTGTAGAATGGAGTACCAACCATTCCGAGTATCATTTTGCTCTTTCATATCATATGTCACCAAAGAGGTTGAGGCCGCCAATATTTTTACTACCAAGATACAGCGAATGCCAAATCATCTACACTCAGAACACTCCGACATTCTCACATCACCAATACAATGCTTTCTCATCGCGCTCAGAAGAGCTTGAACTGGCTGGCTGAAGAGATTCCCTCTGTCCCAGTATGGCCGCAGGACGTCCTTGCCATGAACTCAGCAGAGAACTGGCTGTGCCGTCCAGATCTTGTTCCACTCATGAAGAAAGCCATAGCGGACAACCTTGAAGCATCGCATCTCTCATACTCGAAGAATCTCGGTGGTCCACCGGATCTTCTCGAGAACGCAGCCTCTTTCTTCAACAGGTTCTTCAATCCACGAAGTCCTGTACTGCCCAGCCATATCGTCTGTGGTGCTGGTGCTGGGTCCATCCTCGACAGTCTTGACTTTTCGCTCAGCGAGCTTGATGAAGGCATGCTGATTAATGCCCCATGCTGGGAAGGCTTTGGGATAGCAAGCAATCTGCGAAATGATGATCGCTTGATACCAGTCACGATACCAGTTGGGCTCTCATCCCCAGAGCAGCTCATCAAGCTTTATCTGAAAGCTATGGAGGCTGCGACGTGTCGCGTACGCGGCATCATTGTTTGCAACCCCATGAACCCTTCGGGGCACATCTATCCTACCAGCTGGTTGGAAGCAATCCTTCAGTTCTGCGAGGAGCAAGATATCCAGTACATCGCGGACGAGATATATGGCATGTCGGCATGGGAGTCACAACAAACAAAGACCCCAAAGACATTTTCTGAAAAAGGGCCAATTGTATTTGAGTCCCCAGAGACAAAGTTTACCTCTGTCTTATCTCTGGATATGAAGCGAATTGGAGTGAATCCTGCTCGCGTACATGTTGTCTACGCATTGAGCAAAGACCTCGGTAGTAGTGGTCTGCGACTTGTACGAACATCGTCCCCGGCTCGCATTATCTTGACTAACCTCTTATAGGGCTTTCTTGTAACACAGAAGAACCCCGAGCTTCGCAATGCAATGGCCATTCTGAACAGGTACCGAGTATCCAATGCCACATCCGTGATTGCCTCCAGTCTTTTCTCGGACCTTTTAGTCCTAGAGCACATTCTCGTTCGCAACAGAATGCTTCTCCGCAATGCAGCAGCTCTCGTTGGAGACTTCTTATCCTTCCACCGCTTTGCCTTCTATCGCCCAGTAGCAGGAGTCTTTATATGGACTCGCCTCGGTGGGGAGACAGCAACAGAAGTTTCCGATGCGGCGCTCATGGAGGACTTTGCATCTGCGAAGGTTTCTGTTGCTAGTGGTGTACCCTTTCATGCTAGAGATAGAGGGTGGTTCCGAATCACGTTTGCACTTCCTCATGAGCAGTTACTCGAGGGACTACGTCGCATAGAGAGGGCGATGGCTTTAGAGCGTGCATGGAGACCTTCGAATGATGTGGAGGCCGTGGAGTTTGCGTCTGTTCAGAAGAAGAACTTGATGAAGCCCAAGGGCGCGGGATGCATGGTCATGTAGGGAGCGTGTTCGACGTTAATAATTAATACTACTATGCTTGTACTAGAAATCGTGGACATTGAGGGTTATCCTGTTGATACAAGAGGCTCCGCTCGATGAAAGCCCCCAATTGCTTACAAGTATGTTCAGAAGGTGGACTATGCGGGAAATAAGATGGGTCAATCTATTAATCTCAATCTACGGTATATATATAATTCCAGTTTTATGTCCATACATCTACAAGTCCAGGACGTCTCCAGCTTGCCCGCTCACCTGTCTCCAAAGCTTCTTCCGTTCATCGCGACCGACTTGCTTCCCCGGATCAACCTGAGCCTGAGAGTTTAACGACCTGCTTATCTCCCTTTCCAATTCCACTGTTCAGACATTGTCAGCTACCGAATGACTCGATGATACCACATTGGGGAAAGTTGACTTACTGTTAATATCTACAACGGCAATTTTCCCGGTATAAAGTGAGTGCAAAACATTGGTGCTTTTGTCAGTGCTCGCATCGCCAACAGCATAGATGCCAGGCACATTTGTACGCATGCTTATGCGATCCACTTCCATCGTGCCATTAGCCATATTGACTCCGAGCATTTCCCCAAGTGGAGACCTTTGCTCGCTGCCGAAGACTGTAAAGAGTACCTGACGCTCCATTCGCCCAAAGTCGTCAAATTCGACTCTGAAGAGGTCATGTTCAGGTACCATTGGGAGGCTCGGATCCCTCACATGTGCACCGCCATCTTGTAATCTAGTGATACGAGTTATGGTGCGATTGTCGACTTTGATGTTCTTTCTTCGAAGATACTCAGACGAGTTTTCGGCAAATTGCTTATCAGCTTTGGAACGGTAATCGGGCGTATCGGTGCCATTAGCGAAAATCACAATGTCGGAGTTCAGAGTGATAGCCTCGGCAGCTGCCTCGATAGCCATATCAAGAGGACCAAGAATGCCCATCGACTGGTCGGCATGTTCCATCCCATCGCAGTAAGGACACCAATAGATACCCTTCCCGAAGTTCTCCTGTAGCCCAGGTGTTTCCGGAAGGAGGTCTCGCAGGCCAGTCGCCAAGATGACTTTCCTGGCGGTATAAATAGATGTTGTACCGTCTAGCGATGTACATGAAACGTTGAAGAAACTGTAGTTCGCTTCAGGCTCAATTCTTGTCACTGTTCCGTTCATTGCACTGACTGTCGTGTAATGGGCAATCTGCTGCATGGCGGACCATCGATAATACGCTGGCGTTACACCTGCATTCCGTCAGCAGATAGCTCAGTCCTACTATCAGAAGAGGCCACAAACCATCAAAACCAGCAACATCGTGCATGAGTCGCGTGGGCGCATTACGATACTGGGCAGAGTCGATCATCAAAGCCTTGCGGCGAATGCGTCCAAGAGAGCTGAGAGCGCCGAGGCCTGAAGGCCCGCCACCTACTACAATAACTTCATAGTCAGTTGTGAGGGATGACAGGTCGGGAGTAGGAGCACAGGTAGCTGAGCGCAGGAAGAAAGCAAAGGCGAGCAGGATAACAGGCTTGAGAAACATCTTGACGGTTTGTTTCGAAAGCTGTAAATGTTGTCTCCCAAGATTCGAGCCCTTTCTCAATAGCTTTCGAGTGATGTGTTTAGAATTGTACCTACCAGGCGCTTCTGGTATACGTCATAGGCTCAACAATACCAATTGAGGCTTGACCTCATTTGCGTTCCCTTCGCCTTCTGGGACGCGACATACCAAAGACGGGTTACTCCGTTTTACGCGCGGACTCCAATGTCTCAGTTGAAGGCACACGGCTGATAATGTGATATTGCGCCGAGTGCAGATCTTCAGATAAGGGTGCTGAGACATGTCCAAGCTGAGGCCTGGGTCAGTGACGCAGGCTAAGCGCCCGGAAGTCGGCGAGGCTTGGGGACCAAGCTTGCTGGCCGAGGCTAAGACAGACGGGACGATCAAAATTGCTATGTATCTGAACCAGGATGCCGGAATGCGTTGACCGCGAGGTGGAGAGAAGTAGGTATGCATGCTCACTAACTTGTGATTTTCAGTAACGTCGATCATGGAAGTCCACTTGGGTGACATGCGCACCAACACAAGGGTCAAATTGGGTCGAACCTTAAACCGTGTCAGCTTTTCTTGAAGATCAAAAGGATTTTCCCTTTCTTGTGTTTTCTCGCGATTGTGATAAAAAGTTCCATCCACATTAGCTTCCATTTGCTGGTGCTATGGACAATCCTTGTTGATGCATCAGTGCGTTTTGTTCCCCGTTGAGTCTATTCCTGGTATCAGCCTACCGTAGACCGCGTTCAATCCATTATTTTGTTATTCCTTTTGTTTTTTTTTTTTAAAAAAAAAAAAAAAAAAAAAAAAAAAACACTGCAAATTAACTATCTTTCCCACATCTTTCTTTCTTCTCTTTTTTAATACACTCGTCTCATAACTTTCCCTCTTCTTATCATCCAGACATCATGTCTGAACGCACACCACTTCTCGGGTCGGATCATGAGAACCAAAACTATGGATCATCCGCTCGTGACACAGCCGAGACTTCTCAGCAGGACGGAGAAGTAGCAATCATTTGCAAAGAGCTCTCCTTCGCAAGACTCGCTATGATCATGAGCACAGCCTGGCTTGGCGTTTTTCTCGGAGCAGCCGATACAACCGTTATCGCTACACTGTCCGCTCAGATCTCCAGCGAGTTCAACTCTCTGAGTCTCCTGTCCTGGCTTGCTACGGCATATTTGATAGCCAATGCTGCCAGTCAGCCAATCTCAGGCCGTCTGACTGACATTTTCGGTCGTGGACCTGGTTTGGCATTTAGTAATATTGCCTTTGCAGTGGGCAACCTTATATGCGGCCTTGCTACTAGCCAGAAGATGATGATACTTGGAAGAGTCATTTCTGGCATCGGTGGTGGGGGCCTTATGAGTATACCAACCTTTTTAGGCTCGGATCTCGTCCCCCTTCTGAAGCGTGGATTGGTGGGAGGTATTGCCAATATCTGGTATGCTTCTGGCGCTATGGTCGGGGCTGTATTTGGCGGCTTCTTAAATGACTATACCAGCTGGGGCTGGAGAATGGCCTTTCTCATTCAAGTCCTTCCTTCTCTCCTCTCAGCTATCATCGTGTACAGCTTGATCAAAGTTCCACCCAAACAGTCTGACAAGTCGTATGTCAAGCGTATTGACTTTGGCGGCGTCTTTCTGGTTTCCTCTTTCCTGGCATCCCTCGTGCTAGGTCTGAGCGCTGGAGGAAACATAGTCCCATGGCTGCATCCCTTACCTATAGCAGCGATCTCACTGTCGATGTTATTATTCTCAGTCTTCGTCGTCTGGGAGCTTAGAGCTTCTCAGCCAATCATTCCTGTCCGTCTTCTTCTCAACCCAACAGTATTCGCTTCCTGCTTAGCTAGCGTCTTTTGCTCAGCCATTGCTCTGACCAGCATCTTTTATGTCCCTCTCTATCTTCAGGCCCGTGGGGATTCCGCCACTAATGCGGGTTTGAAGATATTACCGGCGTCAGTTGGTACATGCCTCGGAGGACTCGTCCCCGGCTACCTCATGAAGAAGACGGGCAAATATGTAGGACTGGTAGTAAGCAGTATTCTTGCTCTGATCATAGGCACTGCTATATTCGCAGTTCAGAATGATACCAGTCCAGCTTGGATGACTTGCCTAGCCTTCTTTATCGTTGGCCTGGGTTACAATGCCGTCTTCAGCATTACACAGGTCGCTTGTGTAGCAGCCGTAGGTCATGCACAACAGGCCGTTGTCACATCCACTACATGTAAGACCTTCAGTCGCCCTTGAGAAGAAACCTACTAACAACTTTATAGACCTTGCACGGAGCTTGGGCGGTACCATTGGGATTACCCTTGCGTCCGTCTTATACCAATCAAGCCTAGATATGAACTTGTGGGCACGGTTCGGCCATCAGCCCAATGCAGCGGATGAGATTCGACGTATAAAAGATGACCTGACTGAGATTCACCATCTACCACAGGGCTGGTACACCGGAGTAATGGAGTCACTCATGCAATCTTTTGGGCATGTTTGGTTAATGATGCTCGCTTGGTCAGTACTAGCCTTGATCTCTATCTCACCGATCAAGCAGCATAAGCTTTTCAGTACATTGGATAGGAAATGATCAAAGTTCATATTTCGACATGGAACAGAATGTTGCTCGTTGTTATCAGTAGTCATCAAAGCATCAATATCATATGCTCACATATATACTTAAAATCTTATACACTATGATGAACTCGATGTTCTGTTTCCCGCCACAAGTCCATCATCATTCTCCATCTCCTTCCAAGCACTCTCCAAAGCGTGAACCTTGACACTAACCTTAACATCTTCGGGTAAGTCAGTCGCGCTGAAAATCATGAGCGTCAATGGCTCCGTGGAGAAGAAGGTGTTGGTGACACTATCGACACCATTATTGAGGAAAGCCTCATAGATAGACCTATCAATAACGCCGCTAAGACTCCATGTGCCGTTCTCAGTAGCGAGACTGCCCAGGGATGTCTTATCAGTGTAGAAGATGTTCTCAAAGCCCTTGACACCGCCACGGTCGAGGAAGAACACGGGATCGCCACCAAGGTAGTAGCCGCTCTTGATGGCTTCGTTGGTGATTGGGCTTGAGAACGTCCAGTTCATAGAAGAAGTAGAGGGAATTCCGCTGTCCGGAATGCCTGTGACGTTGACTTCCCAGTAAATAGCGTTAGACTCAACATCAGAGTAGTCAACAATAAGTGTTCCGTTGCCAAAGCTGCTGTTGGAGGCGAGCTCACGACCCAGGACAGGGCTGAGGTCATAGGGCCTTGAAACAAGCTTCCAGCCAACGCGCTTGGCCTTGGTGAGGTAGTTCTCACGAGGAAGACTCATGGCGCTTCTCCAGCCGTCGTTTCCAGTGGGCACAACGCTGGTGTACTGCCAGTTGGAAGCCCAGGCAATAGAAACAGGATACTCGTCCTCTGAGAGGCCATAAAACCATTGTCCAGCGTAGTTGTCCTTGCCAAAGT